GGTTTCAGCCTGATTGAAAATTATGAATGAACATTGGTATCATCCCGCCAAATAGGGTTCAAAAATTGAATGGTTGGAACGGTTGGACTAAAATACCACCTGAAACCAACGTCAACCCTCATGTACCTAAGACATACTCTCCGCCCACTAACAGTCAGCAATGAAGGTTGATAGGAACCACCAATTCTATTGAGATCTATTGAGATTGTAGTTCCAAATGGGTCATTGTTAGAGGCTGAAGGCTATGTCCAAGATAATTCCTTCCCCCTATACAGTAATAAATACCCCTAAACGAAACCCTGGATTGCAACGTATTGGATTTATTCCTTTTGGAGGGCCGTTATGTGGGGTGTTTCATATTAGTTATATTATTGTGGGGCCATTCTATTGGGGTATTTCTCAAGATTGTGGTAGTCCATTTACTCCTTTTGGAGGGCCATATTTCATATATTTTCATAAATGGGGGATTCTCCAACATTATTGTGCTTTTCATACATATGTTTCATATCTTTTCCATATTTCAAGTTTTGGGGGATGGGATTCTGCCTGCTTTTCGACCAAGCAGCACTCGGCTCCTCGTCTTGCCGGGGGCCCAGCCAGCGGTCATGAAGCACAGCATTCACCTGGCACATCTGGATCCATCCTGTAGTCCTGTAATGGGGACGCACATATATATATATATATATCATTACTATTATAAACATTATTACTCATATTGTGTTTTTAATTTGTATTATTAATCTGATCATAGTTAATATTCATAAATAAATATTTATGATATATATATATACATACATATAAAACATATATATGCAAATGTATTCATAATATATATATACATATATATACATATGATATATGTATGTATGTATATATATATATATATGTGATATATTTATATGTATATATATGATATATGATATATATATATATATATACGATACATATATATAAATAGATATATTCATCTATTACATATATGAAATAAATAAATAAATATATATATATATATATTTATTTATTTAAATATATATTAATAGATAATGTGGTAAACCCAACTTTTATTTTTGGGGGTAAATCGAACTTCTATCATATTTTTGGAGGGTTGCTGTATTAAGTGTACTTTAAACCATCCCCCCCAATCACCATTTTTATGTGTGTTGCATCAAGCATCCCCAGATGGTAGGTTTGTTATTGGGTTACGACATTAGGTGAATGCTAAACATGACCAGCCTGTTGTTCCTATCAAATTTTGATCCCGACCCGACGTGAGCTGTTGGCTGTTGATGATGAAAAAAAACTGTATGAAAATCATTGAACAATCACAACAATATATCACAATCTTTCTATGGCCCAGGCCCAGTCGAAACAGTCTGAAATGCATCAGAATGTTGGGTACAGGATTTATTTGTGCATTACGCTCTATTTTTCTGGGGCTTAAGCCCAATGATCCCCGAAGTTATGACTGTATTCAAATGAAAGGAATGCAAAATAGAAGTGATAATATGTCAGAATACCCTTGAACACAACCAGTCATCATAAAAAGCTGGTGCCCCACCCCCACAGCCAATGGGGGTTGACGCTCCGTTTACTTCCCATCCAGGAGTTGCAATCCCAAAAAGTCACCAATATCTACATTCTACAACCCAAGTATCCTTTCAAAGAACCATCCTTTTTGATTCAGTCTCAGTTTGAGAACCGTAGTAGGTAGGGAATGATTCATAATGACACACACACACAGGTGCATATATATATATAATTATATGCCTATATATTATATATAAACATAAATGCTATATAAATATAGTTATTCTATTTTACTGTGGGTATATATAAACAATCGACAAATAGCAAATATTAACAAGATCATCCCATTCCTTAATTCCCAACGTTGGACCTGCAGCGAGGATTGAAACTTTCGGATGAAGGTTTTGATCTCGGGAAGTTGCAAAATCCTCGGTGCTTCGGTGCTGCTGGGACCTGCTGGGGTCTTTGCCAAACAACACAACCAAAAGATGGTAACATATGGGGATGGGTCAAAACCCTGGTACCTAGTGAACCCCAAAATAGCTGGTAAATGGATGTTCATCCCATTAAAAATGTATCTATAGGTATTGACCCATACCCATATGAGAGTTGAGGTTGCAAAATTGCTGGATGGTGAGTTTCCTCACTTGTAACTGGCCAAGTGTGGACACCCCGGCACAACCGCGACAAAGGATCAACTCACATCGTTTCAGGCACAAGCGCACGTCCTGCGACCGGTCAGCTGGGACATGAAACCTCTCCAACTTGGGAACTAGGAGCACGACAAGCGTGGTGGTAGGTGTCAGCTTGAGCGCAAGCATCTTATCTTCATGGATGGTCGGCTGGCACGTCGTCATGGTTCAATCTATGGGGTGGGAGAGGCCACGACCACCTTCAGCTCTGTTGAGGAAGGTGCAACTAATATAGAATGGCTAGCTCCAACACGTTGCAAACACCATGAATGGGAGCCATCTTTACCACTAGCCGCTATAGAATGATAGAGGGCAACACTATCTTCTTCATCTTCTTCAAGATCTGTCAGGGTAGATGGAAAGGTTGAGCCAAAGGGCATTGCCTCGCAAAAAACAAGGACAAAGAACCTCTACTCCGCAGCCATCCAGCGCTCCTGCACGATACTATTGAGCATATTGCTCTGCTCTGCAGGAAGCGGATGAACTTCCTGCAACAAGGACAACCTCGGTAGCTGGTCAAGCAACAAACGTCTGAGGCAATGTCCCTGAAAAAAATGGTAAAACAGGGGAACTGGGACAAGACAGGTTGGAGGTCAGGTGGGAGGCTGTTATGTTTTTGTTCAATGTTCTAAATCTAAATGTTTGACTGTTTCTTTCTGTTAATCTTGCTAAATGTTTCGTCGGAGTTGTTTGATTAATGTTTGGTTTGGATGAGGGTAGGGTATGTTGAGGTTGTTGTGGTTTTACTGTATGAGATAGTGTCCATTAATGTTCATTTGATGCTTGATGCTTTCTTCGTGTCGTTTCATTGTATATTTTCTTACTTCACATTTACAAATTGGACATTCCAACGTTTCTTTCTTTTTATCACTTAATTCTTCCTTTTCCCTTTCGTAGTATTGTTGAGCATATTGTTTTAAAGTTTCTTTGTGCTGTTCCCTGTATCTGCGTGTGCTTTCTAAACATTTATTACACTGCTTACATTCATTTTTGTAGTAGTCTAACGGTTGAAAGACTTTACATTTAGAACACTGTTTTTTGTCAGTCATTATACCTCTACAATTTTAAGGGGTTATGTGTTTAAGGGGTTTTTAGGGTGGATTACATCATAATATATTTTATTAAGATATTATGAACTAATCGTTAGGTTTAGTGTCTCCAGTTTTCATCACCACTACCTATTCCATCCCAACATTGAGAAACAATCGTTTTGATGTTGTAGAACACCAACATGATTGTGTCTCTATCAAGTCCTCGTTGGTCAATCAAGTATCCCAACACTGACAATAGTGTATAATAGTTTTGTTGTAATGCTGTCATTCCTCCTCTATGGTGTATCCTCTCACCGTGTTTTTTGATTAAATTTTGACAACCGCAATAGATATATTCAATGAATTCGGTATTGAGAATTGTAAGATTGAACTGATTGAGAACTACCCGTGTCAAAGTAAGGAAGAATTGTTCAAAAACTAAAGGGGACATATCAAAGCAACAGAATGTGTCAATAGACAGATTGCAGGTAGGACGCAACAGGAGTGGAAACTGGACAATCCAGAGCAGGCGAGAGAATACTATGAAAGAGGCAAGGCACGTGCCAGAGCATACTATCACAAACATAAAGAGGAAATAATAGAAAAACGCCGTTTGAATGAAGAGAAAATAATAGAACAACGCCTTTTGAAGGTTGAATGTCCGTTTTGTAAGCGTGAATTTTTTCAATACTATGCTCTATGGCATCAAAAGAACAACTGTGTCAAACAAACGGGAATGGACAATGAATAGATAAAACATTCTGATTAACAAAGCGTTGTTAATGAGAAGGTTTTATTTTTAGTGTCGTCTGCTGTTCATACATTTGTTGGTTTGACGGTGTTTTGATAGATTGGATTTGCTTGTGATGGTTCGTCCGCAGTCTGGACAGGTGAAAGGGGTTGATAACTTCTTTTGATAATACTTTACAAAATAATTGGGGCCTAATTCGGTCTAATGGTTTCTTGTCGTAAGTTCCGTCGGGTTTCCATCTTGTGGATGTTGTGGTTGGTGGATTTTGAGGGTTGCTGGATTGGTGTAGTGCTTCCGCCATTTGGTCAAAAAGGTTTTCGTCCATTTCTTGCTTAATTCCATCTATAAACATGTAGCAGGGCATACTCAATTCTTAATTACATAAGGCGTCATTTCTTTAAGTGTTTTTGGGTCTGTTGCTCTACAAATTGTGTTTTTAACAAGTGTCCTAAATTGATTTTTTTTGGACGCTGAAACAATGGTTTTAGGACACTTGTTGAAGTAAGGATTTTTTGTCTTCAAAAGTTCAGGGTGAAACGATTTGTCCGTGTTTGATGGTTTGGCTATCAAAGTTGAGGGTGAAACGATTTGTCTGTTGTTGCTTGTTCGGTGAATGATTGATACTCGGTTTTGGGTATCGTTGATACTTGGATACTGGTATCACGGTATCATTGATACTCGGTTCTGGGTACCATTGATACTTGGATAGTGGTATCAGGGTATCATTGATATTCAGTTTGGGGTATCATTGATACTCGGTTCTGGGTATCGTTGATACTTGGATACTGGTATCTGGGTACCATTGATACTAGGCTCTGGGTATCGTTGCTACTTAGATACTGGTATCTGGGTATCATTGATACTAGGGTTGGGTATCTGCGGTTATGCAGGCAATATGTGAAAATTACTCTTGGATGACTCACCCACAAAACATCTCAAGCGTCACAGTTTTTTTTCACCGGCGAAGCTCACATGTATCCTGCATCCCTCAACTTCTGCTCATCCTCTTGAAAGAGCTTGGCGACGAAATGCCAGTGCTTCAAAGCCAGAGCTTCGTGAGGAGCCAGCAGACTGCGTTCTTCTCAGGACGCAGTCTGCTGGCTCCTCACGAAGAAGCTTCAACTTCATTTTGGTGTCTTCGTCGCTCTCTGGGAGATACCCCATGGGTCCTGCCCCTGCCACCTGGAGGAGATAGTCCTTCACTTCCTGGTCATCCAATTTCCTTTCAATTGGTTCCACCCTCTCCTTGTACCGCTGCTCAACCCGCTTGATGACCGCATCCGCACCTTTCTGACCTTCTCTGGATACGTTTTCCAGTATCTCGCCCAAGGCGCGCAAGTTGCCCCCCACGCGGATGTAGTAGTGCTTCAACACCTCGTCCATGTCATCTTCGGCAAGAACCTTGTTCAGCGTCCGGAAGTCGTTTCCCTGCTTCGCCACCTCCTTGACCACAGACGTGAAGTCTTCGAAAGGTAGTGGTCGCACCACCACCAGCCTTGACATGTCAAACCTTTCTTTGATGATGTCTGCCACTGCAGACACGCTTAGGTGATGTTGCGAGCGAAGGCACCGAGGGTGGAAGCAATGTCATCACAGGCATCCCTACTAAATTTGTCTCCGCGGCTTTTGGTTGTGAGTTGCAGGTATACCACGACGGCACTGCCTGTTCATTCACCGGTTCCAGCAAAAATTTGACATTTGACGGGTAATATCGGGGCAAATCTACGGTTTGTAACGCTTGGGGTAGCGCCTCGTTCAGCTTCAAGTCCTCACCAGGACGAACAGAAATATCAAGAGGAAGCACCCTTTTGCCATTCTTCACATGCTCACTCAGGAGATTGTTCAGCATGGTTGATTTCCCAATGCCTTGGGAACCACTGACCACCAAGAAGGAAGGGGTGCTCAAAGCTTTACCTTGAGGTGAATTGATGAAGTCCTTGATGTATTCCTCCTCGAGCGGCCGTGCAGGGGCGGGCTCTTTCCTTTTCAGCCTTTGCCCAGCCTTCCTCACTGCCCTGTTCATGAAGAAGCCAGGAAGGAACCTTTGAATGAGAGCTTGGAGAACCAGCACTACGATGCTCCCTGTGCTCAACAAAGTCCAACCAGTTTTAACGGTCTGCGCCGGAAAAGCCCTTGCGGGCTGTGTTCGTGCATGACCGCTTGGAAGGACGAACCGGCCTGGCGCAAGCTCAACCTGCCTCACAAAGATGCATCTGCGGAATGTCGAAGAAAAGGGACAATACATCGGTTCAGTCAATTTGTGCCAAACTGGCTTTGGTATTGAAGGATGCTTGACATGCAAAACCAAACAGGAACCACAGCGCCTAACCTCAATCAACACATTAATTTGAAGCAAATAATTCGACATCTTTGAACAACAGCTTGTGGTAGAATTTGAACCTGAACCTACACATAGAAACTCTGACCACCTCAACAATTATCCCCTTCATTCAATCCAAACATTAATTATCACAACAACCTCAACAAAACATTTAGCAAGATAATCAAAAAGAAACAGTCAAACATTTAGATTTAGAACATTGAACAAAAACATAACAGCCTCCCACCTGACCTCCAACCTGTCTTGTCCTAGCATCCCTGTTTTACCATTTTTTCCCTGGCTTTCCCAACCCCCAAAACTATCGACATTTTTCAACTGCACTACACTTTGTTCGGCCAGGCAGCCTTTCTTCCAAGTCGTCGCTTCCTTCCACACACTGCGCCAGGCGCATCGCTGGCCCTGGCCCCACTGGCTTGGGCAGACCGGGCAGGCGCAGGGGCGGCACCTTCGGTTCGTTGGCGCTGGGACGACCTTGGCTCAGTTTGGGGGGAAGCTGGTGTCCCACTTAAACTACCGAAAGACCTCGGGGAGCAAGCAGGGCAACGCCAAGCAGTAAAACAAAACAAAGGGAAATCCTGGCCATGTGTGATCTGCCAAAATCCTGGATTGGTTCAGCACGGTTCCACATGCGTGATTTTCCATAGCCAAGGCCAAGGTAAATCAAACTGGATTTCAAGTGTGTGGCCACACTGATGGGCCCCAGTTGCTGGATGCCATTTTGTGATATGTTATGCCTATGACTTCACACATGGTCAGTGGTTGTAGTTGGAGCACGACCTTTATTTGGCCGTGTGGATTTATGTGTTTGTTGACATTTTTCATGCCGCGTTACTTGTCTTTTGACGTCCTTACAGCGTTTAGAATTTGCACTTTGCAGTGATGACATCCTCTAGGGCTGTAACGTGCACTTTGCAGTGGTTACAGTGTTCTAAGAAGTTTAACGCACTTTGCAGTGATTACAGTGTTTGAAAGATTGTGTGGTGCACTCTGCAGTGATTGCAGTGGTCACGGACCGCATAGGAGAGATCCTTGCGGCGACAAGGGAAGAATTGGTGCTGCCGTGTGACTCGGCTCCAGGCACCTCCTTTGCCCATGCTGGTTATACGGCAGCCAAAGACACGGGGCCGATCCGCAAAGCATCAGGCATTATGTAGTCGGAGGCACACGCACTTGCCGTTTTTGTGCATTTTTGTATATTTCTGGGGTTGGGGGGGTGTAATAACGTTCTTGTCGCGCGCTTCTTCGTTTTGTTCTAACACGTTCTTGGAACTTCAGACACGCTCGTGATGCTACGCTTCTAACCAGGTTCTTGTTACTTCAGACACGCTCGTGATGCTACGCTTCAAACAGACAGGGACACGCTCGTGATGCTACGCTTCTCACAGGTTCTTGGAACTTCAGACACGCTCGTGATGCTACGCTTCAAACAGGTTCTTGGAACTTCAGACACGCTCGTGATGCTACGCTGCTAACATGTTCTTGGAACTTCTGACACGCTCTTGATGCTATGATTGTAACAGATTGTTGGAACTTCAGACACGCTCGTGATGCTACGCTTCTAACAGGTTCTTGGAACTTCAGACATGCTCGTGATGCTACGCTTCTAACATGTTCTTGGAACTTCAGACACGCTCCTGATGCTATGTACTAACATGTTCTTTGAACTTCAGACACGCTCGTGATGCTACGCTTCTAACAGGTTCTTGGAACTTCAGACACGCTCGTGATGCTACGCTTCTAACAGGTTCTCGGAACTTCAGACACTCTCGTGATGCTACGCTTCTCACAGGTTCTTGGAACTTCAGACACGCTCGTGATGCTACGCTTCTAACATGTTCTTGGAACTTCAGACACGCTCGTGATGCTACGCTTCTAACAGGTTCTTGGAACTTCAGACACGCTCGTGATGCTACGCTTCTAACAGGTTCTTGGAACTTCAGACATGCTCGTGATGCTACGCTTCTGACATGTTCTTGGAACTTCAGACACGCTCTTGATGCTACGCTTCTAACATGCTCTTGTGCCAAAAAAAAAGTTTTGTGAAATTCCAAAACCCTGATTTTCACACCTAAGATATCAAAACCGATACGGTGCCACAACGCCAGACACTTTTTTGAGATTTCAGAATGCAGATTGTACCACGGGCAGTTAAAGGTCGTGCGCCTTGTAGTTTATAGTGGTCTGAAAGTACCGCATGCAAACATCATCTCAAATATCTTGGTTGGGCCAAATCCAACCCTCCAAAAAACCAGGAGATGTCTGACCCAGCCACGCTCTTCGGGTGCCGTTTGCTGCGGCTCCACCGGCGCATCCTCCGCCGGCGCATCCTCCACCGGCGCATTGTCCGCCGGCGCATCCTCCGCCGGTGCCTCCGAGACGGTCACAGCGGGGCCCCCCGTGGCGTCGTGGGGGTCGGCGGCGGCACGCCACTGCTCCAGGGCAGTGACGCGAAGGTCTAGGGATTCCAGGCTGGAAGCCAAAGTCCTGAGAATTGATGTGACTCAGACTCTCAGCCCTTTTACCCCATGGTTTCATAATCTGAAGACTGTAATATATATATATATATATTAATTTTATATTTATTAATTATATGTATTAATATGTATGATGGGCAATGTATATGTGCGAAAGTAACACGTTCTGAAATATTTATAATAGATTCCAATAAGAATTTTAGGGATAAAACTATGAACATTGTGTAAGATGTGCATGGGTCAAAGATATTCAAAAATTGTCAATGTAGATCACATCATTCAAATCTAAGACCCACACATCCACAATTATGTTTCATTTTTAATTTTGAAGCATCCTTTCCTTGGGTGCATAACCAAATTTTGGCCCATACGATATATAGAGCACAGCCGCAGTTATATCATAATAATTACAACAACATCAGCATAGATCCATGACCAGTAGCCATCGGGAGCTGAATCGTAGGTATCTTGACAATAACAAATGGGGAGAGGAAGGTTTGATATCCTTTCATTTTTCTTTTGACTACGGTAGGGAATTGTCCTATCGGTCCTATCGCTTCCGTATTTTGTTTCCCGTGGCTAACCCGCATCCAACTTGGTGGGTGGGTATCACTCATTGGGGCTTATTTCCATCCATTCCCATCTTGATGCTTGTGTTGGCCCCTCTACGGACGTGAATGACTGGAACATTTTCACACCCAGCTTCGGTAATCCAACCTCAGCCAAAACATCACAGAACAAATTTTGCCCACGGTTTGTTTCAAGTGTTTCCTTGTTGAAGCGAGCTCGCCATGTAAAAAGGCGCATGAAACGTGATGAAAAAAAACACCCCCTCTTAAAAACATAGAAACACTCATGAATCATGGAGCACCAGCATTCTCAACCATGGATTCAGATGGATTCAATATCATTTCTCTTTCCCACCAGCCCAACAGCAGCGCAAGAAGAGGTGCTTCCAATTCTCCCTGGAACCAGGTCGGGAGCCACGACCGGAGCTAGGCACCTGGCTGGAAATTCCAAAAAAATCTGGCTGGTTAGTCCGATGCGGTGTTGCATAGTGTTGCCACACCAACATGTTAAGATTTGGTAATTTTCACCTGCAACCCAAGGGACTCTTTTGTAGAGCAATCAAATCGACTCAAACCGTGGTTGATCAATCCAAAATGACCTAAAAACAATGTGAGCAGAAGGGTCACTTGAATTCCCAGGACCTATCTGACCTATCTATTTACCTGTCATGTGTCTGTTTTCTGTTAATACCCCTTTTTTCCCCTGTCCTTCCCCCACCTCGCTCTTGGACCCTGGTGCCGGCATCTGCACCGCCACCGCTGTCCCGTCCGGTCCGTCGCCAGGCTGCGTGGGGTTCGCCGTCTCCGGCGTCGCCTCGGCGCCAGTGCCCTCCGCGACCGCTGGGGCCAAGTCTTCGGGGAAGTCCAGGCTTTCACGAAGTACCTGGCAGCTGTCGATATCTTGGGATGGTGTGAACCGTCATAAACCTAGGCTTGGACACCGGAAGAAAAAGAAAACATCAACAAACAAATCACTCTAGAGAGTATATAGCCCCTACAGCAATTAAAACTCAACGAACATCCACTGTAACACATGCTGTCTTGAAGAAAAAAAGAAAAAGCGATCAAGTTACATATCAGCATTACTGGTCATCTTCCCACCGGGCACCAGGCCTCCAGTGCTTCCGTCAAGCTGTGCACCTTTCCCTCCAACACTTTCACCCTTCCCACCAGCTCCACTGTTTCCGGCGGCGCTGCGGCCGCGCCGGCAGGGCCGGCTGCGGTAGCTGCCGGAGGGTTCACCACCGCCGCAGGGGGGTTCACCACCAGCGCAGGGGGGTTGACCACCACAACTGGGCCATTCACCTCTGTCGTTTCCGGCAAGGCCTCGTTGGAGCCTGCCTGCAGGCTGGCATCTGTGTCAGGCACCGTAGGTGTGACGTCGGCTGGTGCGCTGGGGGCCAGCTCTGTCGTTGAGCTGGGGAGGACAGAGTCCTGGGATGCCGGGGATAGGAGCAAGGCAACTGCAACATGCCTTCAACTCAAACTGCCAATGGCCATCAATGGCCCATCGCTGCTGCATGGTCTGAGTGTCGCTCATTAGTTTGAATGAAATCTATGCCTCTCTCAGTGTGGGTCCGATTGCAAAGACCACCAGTACAATCAAATAATCATGGAGATCAGACCACATCAGACCCAATCAAAGCAATCATGGATCGAATCAAAGCTGCCCTTACATTCATTGAAGAAACTTGGTCAATATTGGTTCACATCCCCTCCTTATCTGTCCTTCACAGGTAAATCGTTGGGGAGGTTTCCCAGTGTATCCTAGTGTCATGTTTGGTAACCACACAGTAAATTCATGACTATGGACCCAAACCCTGCCCAGGCATCATCACTAATCTATCCCTGCAGCCTCAACACCGGATTATATTGGATTAATAAGCATTCCCCCAAATCGTGATAATCTGACATTAAAATGGCAACCCGGTGGCATCCTGGGACCCCACGGGACCCCACGGGACCCCACGGGACCCCAGTGATCAACGGCCCAGCGGTTTATGGATCGGGAGTATCAACCATCACTATTTTGGCATATATTTATTATCAATATATCATTCATGAATGGCCCCCCCATCACCCGTGACTTCTAGGTCCAGGCTGCCAGCTTGTCTTTGAGCTCAGAGATCTGTACCTCCAACGCCATCAATCTCGCATCCTCCTGTTGGCTCAACTGATATTGAACCAAAACACTGGGAGATCACAGGGACATTCTGTGTTACTCAATCATCCCGACTCAACAACCCGGGTGGACGCAAGCACCGCAAGCACACCCAACTATATTGCAGTTTGTTACGGTTTACCAGTTTATGGGGTCAAGTTTACCATAGTTTACCAGGCTCAATCCGTTTGGGTCATACCGGGCAAGCACCCTCGGGCAAGCAAACATGACAACATATTACAGTGTAAATCCATGTAAATCCCAGATGTTGTGTATGGTATAATGGTTTTGTTTTTCAATTGTCATGTTTCTGCTGGTTGGTGAAAATCAGCCCATTGTTGAGGTTCCAAGCCATTTATATAGTTGGGACATAGGCCAAGTTAGGGGAAGTGAATGACATTTACAATCTCACCATCATCTTCCACTTCCCTGTCAAATTGTAGACACCAGCCCCAAAATCAAACGGATTCAAAACGGTAGAATCATCCTGATTACCCTTCGGTAAACGTGGCAATTGAATTTATAGACTATTTTACAATTTTCATCCATTTTATAACGTATTACACTAGTATTATTAGTATTAATTATTCTATTTTATGAATTATTATCTTCCCAGCTCTCTACCTCTGTTTCATGCTGGGATTTTCCAGCCAGCCACGTTTGCAATGACCAGGAATCCCTTCTGCGTTGCCGCGTTGCGGAGCCTGATGGGTCTCCTGGGTCTTGACCTCCCCAACCTCCACGCTTTCCGCGGCAGGTGGCGCAGTACGCAGGGCCTGCTGAGGCATGGCATAGCATGACCCTGGGTACACCTTACGTCCAGACTTAGCAACGAATTCGTTGCAGATAGAATTTGTGTATCTACTCTGAATTTATGGGGAAAAAACGTACCATTCAAAATGCCTAAAGTGAATTTCAGGTCTTCATTGAGCATCGCATCTACCTGAAGTATCAGATGACGATGTTGGTACTTGGCTGTACTGAAAACAGTCTCTCGATGACCCGATCGCTTGACGCCAGCGCTACCAGCCTCCTGGAGCTCACGGATTTGCTCTTTCAGCTCACTTTCCATGCGGTTCAACTCCTCATGAACCACCTTCGGAATCTCCTTGGTATCACCGAGGCCCCTTCATTTTCTTGGGACATCGAGTGAAATAAACCCACAAACGGCGACGTAGAACGCAGCACACCAAGTTGTAGACCGCGCCCGGGCTTTAAACACTTTAGTAGTTCATGCAACAAAATGCTCAACATATTGCAATTGGGCATTGGTGTTGGGCTTGCCATAATTCCATATATTATATCATATATGTCCTGTCTCTCTCTGAACCTTTTACATTTAGAGTCATGAATTTTAAGGCTCAAGAAGCGCATGTTTGCCATCGGAATATTTTGACGGTTGAGGCAGAAAACAAAAAATGAACAAACAAACATGGTACCAATTCATGGTTCAGTTTTGATTCACCAGCCAGCCTATCCCGTTTCTCATCCACAGCATGGCAATGAAAAGTCGGCCGTTCACACATGAATCTCTTGCGATTTCCCATGGCCAGTCATTCCCGTGTTTGCATTCCCTGCCGACATGTGACCGCAGAAACGTCTTCCTCGGGACGCTCCTGACCTGTTTCAAGGTGGTTATCAGATGTGCCCTTCTTGTGGAGATATCATGGTGCAGTTCCACAATGGTGAAGATCCCGTGATTATCTCCAGAAGACGCTTTAAACAAGTTGCCCCTTACCTCAAACGACAATTGGATGTTTGTAGACTCAGAATGTGAATTTCAACCCCCATTGGACCCGTAGCATGACAATTTCCCTAGCATGGAGAAGAAATGATCCACCATTGCAGGCATATCAAATACCAGTTGAACGTACAAACCAAAAGAAACACTCCCGGCAAGAGATCGCAAACAGTGTGCAGTCAGGATTCTAAGGGAAAAGTGCAAAGTATCATAAAGCATGGATAAAAAATGTGTTCATTCAGGTGGTTCTGCAAGTTCCCTTTGTGAAGATCTCTGTAGAAGATCGTGCGCAAGATCTCCTTGACAGGTTCTCTGTCTGTAGAATGTAGAAGTTGCTGTGCAAAATCCCTTTGTAAGGAAATTGTAAGGAACACATATGAGACCACCTCGAATGAACACCAGGCCTTAACAGCTACCGCTACCGAACCCCAAGTGTGGTGTGGCCATCCACCGATCTATGGGAAGACTTTAACCTCCACAAGTCAAGAAACTGGGAACTGGAAGGTAGTTTCCTTGCTGGACTAGTCTTGAGGGGTGCAATCCGTAGAGCCCACACATGAATAGGCTTAGACTTAGGCAAACTTAGAAGGAAAAGGTTCGGTTCCCATTGTGATAACCTAACATAAAATTATATTATAATGTATAGTCCAGCATACAACTTTGAAAAAGAAACTATGTCAATCCCGGGTTAATAAACCCGTGTTGTTCAACTGGTAGAATATCACTTTAGTAGCAAGTTAATGCAAATTATCAATATATAATAGTTGGGGGGAGCCACCCCAAATGTAACAGATTGCAGACGCCGAATTTCTGACTGCAGTGGCTTTGTACAAAGAGCACGCAGAGACTCTTTGGAATCATGGTGCTGCCATATTCAGGGGAAACAGAATAGTAAGCACATAATAATACAATAATAATACCGTGCATGCATGATATTTCTGTACGATAAGGAAGTTCATTATCACAGTACAAACATATACTTCCGGAAATTGGCGATGCTGGGATGCCTTCGAAAGTGTTGCAGAAAATGATGGTTTCATGGCATGATCCTCCCAGTTGCCCCGCTTCAGCTTTGCTGAAGCCGGGCGCCAGTGACGTGAAACGGCCAGCACTGCATGACTCAGTTGCTGTACCTGAGCACTTTGCAGCATGGTAACGTAATTGCGAGAAACCATGAAACAAAACAGGGGTGGGGGGGTAGTTGTCCATTCAACTCTATAGGTCTCTAAGAGCATGAATTCATCGCATGAATTTGGATCACTGGCAACACTTGGAGCTATAGGCTATATAGGCATGTGACCAAGAGGTGGCAATACAGCAACAGGATCTGAGAAATGGTATGAGAATGACCAGAAAGATGACATATCATCCAAACCATTCTTTTGTCGGGACGTGACTGCGCCAATCTCCGCCCCAGGCAGATCGCCTCAGCTGTCGAACACCCCCCAGCGCGGCGTCGACGACGTGGACGACGATCGCTGGGCGCGCGCCAGGCGATTCTTCGCCATCAGGGCGTCCCAAAGCTCCTAAAAGGCGTGGTGGGCGTGGTGGGATACCAAGGGACACAGGCGAAAACCAAATGATGTTATCCTAATATGATGTTATCCTAATATGATGATGATGATGATAACATTATAGAGGTAAAAACCATATCATCATATTACATCCCTCATCACCAAGCAAACCCTCATCACCAAGTGAACAACAACCTTGATCCAGTCGAAGTGCCGCTGCGGATTTTTTCTATTGGGCTGGCGACTGTGTTTATGTCCGTGCAATTTCGTAAAATGTGGATCAAATATGTTTGACAAAGATAGTGACTGCAATGAATTCCTCAAATTTGTGCTTGACTCTATTTTGCCCAGAGTCTTGAACGTACAACAAATCCTGCGGCTAAGGCTCTTGTTCCGCTTGCTTGGGGCCAACCTCCTCCTGCCAAGTGAAGCGTGCACAACAAAGCGATTTCATAGCCATCTTTTATCAATGAAGGATCACTGTGAACGTATTGAATCCCCGTCAGAAATGCTCAACCCCCGAATGTCTCCAACTACACTATAATATATAGATATATTATCATGTCCCACAACATGTCCATTCTGCTTGTTGCTTTATCCCCTTAAACAAATATACGGCTGTCACTCCAAATACAGCTTGCGGATCCAAAGTGTCCTCATGACAAAAAAACATGACCCCAAAAAAGTAAAAATATTGATGACACACAATTAAATGTCCCAAATATGTATCATTGTTTATGGCATCATGAATCAGCTTTGATGGCGCCATACAATGATAAACATATAAATATTAATATATTATTATTTGTATAATGACATATACGTATGATGATGATGATGATGATGAACATGAACATATCCCAAGAAACTACACATATCCCAAGAAACTACAATCTATATAAATGACAACTGTCAGACTGTGCAAAAAATAACTCGCACCTCTCCTTGCAATCGCTTAAGGAAGCCCCCCCCAAAAAAAAACATCTATACAGTCTGTACACTTTGACCAGGAAGTGGATTTCCTGGAAAATCAGCTTGTTTCCCCAGTGCCACCGCCGTCCCGGTGCTCCTTAACCTTCCGCTGCTTCTCCGCCAGGTGCCGGGCCTCTTCCAAGACGCGCTGCGGTGCGATGCCCTGCTCCTCCAGGTGCTTCCGCTGCCAACTGGACCTGGGAACGATGCAGGTCCAGAACTGTTGGGGTTGGTGATGAAAAATACTTGATATAGATGATATGGATGGGATGGGAATATCAACGGGAATATAAGTGGAAATATAAGTGGGAATATAATTGAACATAAAAATGGGAATATATTATATATATATGGAAATATAAATGGGAATAACTGTTGGGATTATGGTGAGAGATGAAATGACCACTTAATTGGGTTTACATGTCCCAACTTATAAGTAGGGGGCACCACATTGTGCCACGTGGTCGCTATGTCGCAGAAAAACAAACGCACTGGAAGGACAGGGAGAACAGCTGGGCCCAGCAACCAAAGAATGTTGACAAACATGTGCTTGACTTGGGGAGTGAAAATCTGACATATGCCATCATATGCCATTGCCCTTGGATTCAATCCTATCTAATTTGTCATTATCCGGATCCCCATGCATTCCCCTGCCATCCCTCAATTTGGCAGTGAGCTCAAGCACCAATCAACTGTTATGGTTGTAACATATATAGGAACCATATAAGTTCTATATTATACATATCCCTGGTAGTTTAGTGGCGCTGTTTTGCGGGTTGATGAATTAATCAGTTCCATCACCAGAAGTCCATCGGGGAACCAAAAGTCGGCGGAAAATCTTGAGATTTTGGAGTTCTTCCATGTTCTTCCCCCAAGGACTTGGTCCACCCTGATTTTTCAGGTGACTTCTCGAAAGCTGCTTCCACCACGGCCTTCTTTTTCAATTCTTCCTCTCTGAGGACATCGCCTGAGAGCTGCACAGCTGCGACCGATTTTTATCTATGTTTCTTTTGGGCCAAGAAAATCACTCACACGCACACACATGTTGCGGTTCGTTTCCACTACTCACTACTAGGTCTCCTAATATGTCCTATAATCATATATTCAATACAACTTCTATGATGGGATACAAAGGGATACAAACATGTAGAGAAAGAGAGGGAGAGAGAGAGAGACAAACAAAAAATAAGACATACTTTTCTCATCCTGCACACCAATCATTATCACCAAATCATCGTGCCAAGTGACGCCCCAGGAGCTCTAAGGATTTCCATTCCTGGTTGAGCCAATGACCCAATGCAATGCGCGAATGTGAAACTTGTGAAAACTTTCCGGTTTCTTCCGGACAAGGGCTTTACAAAATAACAGGTTTCAAACATGTGAATCCCTGTCTATTGATATGAAAATTCCCGTCTCTTGGATCTAATGATCTACTCTTGGGGCCACTGTCTAAAACCATCATCCCAACTAGTGACTCTGGTGACTGATGGGAAATTGTTTCAAATGATGTGACACAACATTGGGGCTCAGAGTCCCATGGTTATGGCTCAAATTTCTTTAAAAAACCAGCAGCCAGATTGACCTGATACAAAGTGGCAAAACCAATGCCAACGGTAAACCCCTACATTACTATAGGGATTGTGATTTAGATTTAACCATCAATCTAATCAAACCATATTTGTGCTTTTCCTTCACCACATCTAATAACACTGCCGCCGGCATTCCAAACAATGATGTCCTTTTGGGAAACATAGATGGACCGGATTGGATATATTTCATTTTATCATTGTTTACAGTACCTATTTGTTGTTCACTGGGATCGGTCACTCTTTCCTACTATATTAATCAGCCACCCAAACGGAAACAACCATTTATGAAACCCAATGATAAGAATCCAAATCCTAAATGGGGTTTGCCATGTAACTCCAATTTTTAATTTCTCCAACCACATTCAATAAATGCTGTTGCTAGCATTACCATCTGGTTATTTAACATAGCCATGGACAATCACCATTTTATAGCTAGGTAAACCATCTATTTCTATGGGCCATCTATTTTCCATGGCTATGTTAGTCATAACCAGAGGGTACAGATTCATTCGTCAAGTTTCCAAGACTTCCTTGTCTCGTTGATCCTCGCGGTCCATGAGCCGCTGTCTCCGCAAGCGTTCGTCTTGGACCATCGCACGCCACTCCCGATAGTCACGCTCCTGTCCACCAAGCCCCACCCCCAGGCAGCGCCAATGGCTCTCGGTAAAGCATATCGAATGCAAATCGAATGACCGATTTTGATCCTCACAGAAAATCGATGATTGTGAAATTACATTTGATAAGCAAAGCACATGGGGCAAAAGTGTGCTGGCAATATCACTATATTACAAACGTTCAACATTTTCCAAGTGGATCCCTGACGGCTTCAAAGTTGGATCTTCGTAAGGCTCCAGCAGTGAAAACATAACTCCCCCGAAAACTCTCCAACCATGACAATGGGTTTCCGAAATTTCATACGTCCCATTGATTTTACTATTATATACATGCACTTTCGGCATGACATGTCATACATCCCATTGATTTTATTATTAAAAAACACGAAATTGGAGATTCCCTGTTGGATCTCCATCTTTATCTCCATCCCACTGGTCTCCTTCCGCTCTTCAAGCAAGGCAAGTCTCGCCTTAGCATCTGGGTGATTTTGTTCACCGGATAAGACTCGATGTTTTGTTATCGGTGTACATAGATTTCTGGTTGGTGGTTTCAACCCCTCTGAATAATATTAGTGAATTGGGATGATTATTCCCAATATATGAAAAATAAAAAATGTTCCAAACCACCAACCAAATTTTCAAGTTCCGTTCAAGCCTCTGGGATTGGTACACGCCTCACATTCAACCCTACCGACGACTCACATTCGACCCCACCCCCATTCAGACCGCACAGGCTCACATTCGACCGTACCCAAATGAAAATAAGCAACCCTTGCAGCAAAAAACAACATGTATCCGTTCACATTCGACCCTACCTCAACTTTTGAGTGGGGTGGCAAATTTCCAGCCAAGGTGGGGTGGGGTTGGGGTGCTGGATGGGATGTTGACGTTCAGTCACACTTGCAAACCAAACACAACACACCTACGCGCAGCTGGGATGTTAACGTTCCCTAGCACTTCCAAACCCAGGATGGCACACTTCCAGGCACACCGGGGTGTGGTGGGGTTGGGGTGGGGTGGGATGCTAACGTTCAATGACAAACACTTGCAAACCAAGGATGGCACACCTCCAGGCGGGTTGTGTCAACTTCCTTTGAAGCTACATCGGCGGTGACGCAACACATTGGCACCATTGCAAGACGCAAGTAAAACCCCCCGTTTCTCACATTCGACCCTATCGCAGAACAGGGGTATAGGGTCATATTATGCGAGAACCATGGGGTAGGGTCAAATGCGAGGCGCGTACCCTGGGATTGGAATATATATGCATGGTTTGAATAGGAATATACACGGGCAAATGAACGTGGCATACACGCACACATATACATAAATATATAATACTGGTATATGAATGTGTATATGTGAACAATATGGGCATATAATGGTATATTATTTAAATATATATATATATAGTTACCCAATCAATGCCAAACAATATCAAACAACATTTCACTAAAACAGGCAAGGTCTTGGAGTTCCGTGAAGTCTGACTCCGCTGGAGAGTTGTCTGCCAAGAAGCCAAATCAAACCAGCCCAGATTTGGCATGATTAACCTCCAAGCAATTGACGCATCTGCGCTTGTCACCTTTTTTGCCCCAGACATCATACACATCCGACGGTCAAAACCCTGGTACCTCGGTTCCCTGGTGATCAAAATAGCTGGCAGGTTTATGTTCACCCTGAAAACAGTTTTCTGAATAATTGGTGATCCATAGCCATCTCATGAAATCAATGAAAATTGACCTCCGCAACACACACACCACAGCAACCTCCGACAAGTGACTTCTTCCTCCTCTTTGCGACGCTTCTCTAAGTTTTGCTTCCAGCGGATCTCTAGCCCTCGCATTTCCTGAGCTGAACACTCTGGAAAATGTGTAGCTGCTAAGTGTAGCTGTATCGTTCTGTTCACTTCAGCCTCTCCGCAAAAAAAAGGTCAACATGTAAACATATGTTGGAGTTTTCGTTACAATTTAAAAGGGAAAAAAATAGACACCTTTCTAGGACCTGCAAGGGTCAAGGAATTCAATGGTGTGGATTTGGTATCAGAAAAAAAAAATCTACTCCAGGTCACATTGCGAATCCCTGAGGCGAGTGGATCGGAATACCCTGCTTCTAAGTTATAAGTACCCTCTTTGTCGCGGCTTCACAACCCATCAAAAAAAATCATATAGCATGTAGTCTACATCCTCAATTGTTCACCCAACACATGGGCCATTTTCAGGCCAAAACACAAATCCCTTGATGAAGAATTGCCTTAAACCTGCAACATGAGTCTTCTCTTCACCTTTACCTTACCTGCACTGTGGGATCATAATCCCCGGGATAAACGATCCACACAAAGAAGCCCCCAAAAAGAACGTCCCACCAACTACTATCATCAGTGGTTATATCACTCTGTCTCTCTCTCTCTCTCTCTCCCTCCTCTCCCCATGTTTTCCTGATCTTAGATGATTAAATCATCATAATAACATATATGTTTCCAAACAAAATCCTCATTTCAAATGCTTGAATCATGTCAAATCATCATCTTAGATGGCTGAGAATATTAAATCAAGTTAACATATGATTTTAAAAGTTTATTTAATTCATCATCTAAGATTTTAGAAATCTTACATCAAGCTAAATCATCATCGTGGATGGTAAAGTCATCATCTTAGATCTTTGAATAAACATCTCAAATGCTTAAATCACCATTATAACATCAAATTTTCTCTCACCCTAAATCAGCAAAAATTATCCATCATCAATATCAAACACCCTAAATCATCAATATCTCATCAGCTGTTACTTCCCAGCATCCATAACGATTTCGATCTTCCGCTCCGTGGCGTTTTGCACGCGCGGCGTCTCTTGCCGCTCCTTGAGGCGCTGACACTCGGAGGACAGAAAACGCAGGCGCTGCTGTTCCAAGGCGTCCTCCAAGGCCTTTTTTGTGCGACTTGAAAAAGGGAGATCCAAGTCATCCAAGTTACAAAATATAAGGCTTTATTGTGTATACATATAATTATAATATATATATACCTATATATACCTATATATATAGTTATAGTGTGATATAGTGTGTATATGTATGCAATTATATTGATTATATAGTTTATGTGTATGTGCATGTATGTACTGTATATGAAACAAAAATAAGCAATGATAATATAATATATAGACATATATATATAATGTACAATATGTATGGCTGGCGGGGGAAGAAAACTTTTGGTATTGAGCAAAACCAAAAAAACGTGTAGAACAAATGTGATGTATTTATCGGAGCACTATATGAAAACAAGTTGTATGATAAATGCAATTGTATGATAAATGCAATGGACAAGAAACAAAGGGTTTAAGAAACCAAAAAGGATATCTAAGAAGCAAACATTGGCTCATAGAGCGTCAAAAATTGATTATCTAACATGCACAAGTGGTGTTATCTATCTATCTATCTGTCTGTCTGTCTGTCTATCTATCTATCCATCTATCTATCTGTCTATCTATCTATCTTTTTTAAAATAATCACATGGACAAATGCTGGAATGTAAATTAATTACATATAAGAGCAACAAACAATTGTTGATACCTTGAAGCTCTTAAGTGCGCTAGGACTGATTCTTAATTCCGTTCCACAGTACAGTGGTATGAACAAAAATCACCCACATGGGCCCGATGCTTGTTGCTTCGTCTGCGCGCGACAAGTTGGATTTGGATGTGGCTGGACTCCGGACTCAAATGGACTTCCAAGGGGCCATCCCATCTTGCTCGTAACGCTGCCTCTTCAGCACGGCTTCCTCAGCTGGAAGGGCCAGCTGAAATGTGGACCATGGTGTAGCGGGTGCCCCAAAATGGATAAACATTGCCATTTTGATTGGGGAAGCGATGATGAATATTGGTAAAACTGCAATTTTTTGGGTGCTACATGTTCGTCATTCAGAGAAAAAAAACAAACTCTATTTTAACGCCTGAAGCGAAAGGGAATCTCACTACGAAATATGATAAATATGACCTGGCATGAGGTATGGCACGTACCTCCCTGAATAGGACATTGAACGATGCAACCACGCAATCTGGGATCAGAACAGCTGGGCATGGCTTTGGGACCTGAAATCCCCAATAGAAATGGTCTCCGTCCCGATCAGCATGCCCGTAGCTGTGTGCAACACGGTGTGAAGCACCCCAATAGACCCATGCCATGCAGAGCTCTTCGGACAAGGAGATAGTACAGTTCTATGGGTACATTACTGAACTGGGTCTTGCTATGTCTTGCTCATCACTACATATTCCTGCCGCCCTCTACGTTGCAAGAGTGCTATTTTCCGTGGATCTTTGGCACCGAAATTGACCGGCTGTGCTTCCAAACCTCCAAATGCCGATTTCCATTTGGAGAAAATATATGTCTTTGCTTGAGAGGAGTGTAAAACCCATTCCATCAAACACTTTTTTCATAGTTTACCCGACCCATTAAAATGACCATTTGTTGAGGGGAACCAGCACTTCCATGGTCCCTACCAACACCCCGGGCCTTCTCCTGTCTCAGCCGCTCCTCAGCCTCTAGCCTGGCTCCCGAAACCCCGAGGAGTCCAATAGGAAAATCAAACATTAAGGTATTTAAATACCAAATGTCAATGGTAAATGCTATTAATCATAGGTTTAAGGATTTTATCATTGGTTCAATTACCCTATTATCTACTAGTACCAAGTGAGATTGTCAAAAGGATCCAAAAGGTAGCTTGTGTCTCATTCATGTTGTTTTTGGGGCCAACGCCTCGAGGCGGGCTGCTGTTTTTCCATGTAACTGCTGCGTGCTCCTTTTTGAGCATTTCACCTGTTGCCGTTGTTGACATGTATGTTGCATATCCTCGCTTCTGCTCAAGTCGGGTGGGTGGGGTGGGGTGTAGTAACGTCCTGATAACTTTAAGACTGCTCGCCAAAAGGGTCCATGTAACTTGTTGTCGTTGTTGACATGTTGCATTGTCGCTTATGCTTATGCTCAACAGGGGGGGTGGGGGGGGGGTTAATAACGTTCCTGACGGCTTTAAGACTGTTGGCCACAAGGGTCCATGTAACTTGTTGCCGTTGTTGCCAAAGTTGGGCCAACTCTTCAAAACGAAGAACGGCGGCTGAAGAAACACAAAGCAGGCAGCAGGGCCGAAGAAACTATGAGAGCTTTGAAGGCAGATGTTGATACGTTGCAAGGTTTGTTTTTTTGAATGTTGACCTGATCGTGGCGATACCAATAATTATTGTTAAATAAACATAGATCATTGTAAAATACAATGTATGATGCTCATTCCTGATTCCAAATCCACAACCCCAATGATAAACAACCCACGCCCCTGCCAAGGCGTTATTCCCTTTTTTGTTCATGTGTTCTGCTGATTCTCTGACAAAACAGTATATAGAAGCCTTCAGCCCAATAGACTGAAAGAACTAGATAACACTATAACACTTCTTCACCTCCTTCAAAAAGCACATCTAAAAATCGAACCCTGGAAATGACTCCCTTCATCTCCCCTCCAAGATTAACATATATACTATATATATATATAGTATACATATATATATATAAGATACTATAATATCATATGTCATTAAATCATTAAACACTATGTTGCATACATACTCCCATAATTCAAACTTTCGACCTCGAGATGATCCTGGCCCGACTTGGTGCCTGGAGGCTCTGACCTCCACCTGCCGCTGTTGCAACATCGGCTGCCACACATTCTCCAACCATCGTCCCTTGGCCTCTCGTTGCGCCGCATCCTGAGGGGATGGCATCGATGATTTTAATGTAGCCTCTGGTTATGACTAACAAAAAAAAAGCCATATGGAAAGATCCACCATTTTATAGCTAGGTAAACCATCTATATATTTCTATGGGCCATCTATACCATGGCGAACTTTTTTTTTCAACCAAAGGGTATGTTTTTTTTCATAAATGTCCTAGCATTGTCTTGGCATGTTTGAGGTGACTCTCCAGCTACTGCCAAGCTTCATGCGCGGCTTTTGCCTGGGCCTTGGGAAGGCTGTGGGATCGGACAAGTTTGTAAATAGCCTCTGGTAATCTTATATAGCTATTGAAAATGACATGTTACTGCTTTTTGTAGGTAATTCACAATAATTCACATACATATTAACAATTACATATAGGTCCATTTTACACAATTAGCTGTGTCAGACTAGCGGAGGGCCCGGAAAGTATAGCTTATGTGGCTTAAGGATCTTGTTTGGATCCTTGCGTTGCAACAGCAACATGCACTAACCACTTTTCAGTAGTTTTTCACCATCAACAAGCATCATAAACCTTCATCAGCCCTCTAGTCAACCCCTGTTGGTAGCATTTGGCAGGCCCCATCTACCAGCAATGCAACAAAAGAAGACAATTGGGGATGATCATGACATTTCTACCAGGGAACAATAACATATTAATATGTGGCTGTAGAATGCCATTATGGTTTGTATTTGTATATCCTCATGTCTTTACTTATGCTCCCGCCTCCCATGTCTCCAATTTTGCTGGCTTCAATCCCAATTCGAGCTACCTGTGGACAGACCATCCGCTAGCCAGTGTTCCCATCAATAAAAGCTTTTGTCTTTTCCTTTTGACATTTGATGAGTAATGTGGCAGTGGTGAATCCTCATCTTTTGCTGGTAAAACAGGACAACCATGTTCATGTACATGCATGTGCACACTACATTACACATACGCACACACACACACACACACTTCGCAGATCGTTTACCATGCTCAACCTCCATCCATGTCTAGGTTTATCAATCAATGTTTATCATCTCATACTGTGTGTCTCGATAAACACATGAGGCACCTACCAAAAATTGATGGTTTAGATTGGTTTAGTCAGTTTCCTCCTAAGAATGACGGACATCTATGGCTGCCAGGGTCGACATGGCCAAGACACAGCTGCTTCTTCTGCTGGCGTCAACTGCGGCATCTGCGCGCGTCCTCAGAGGATTCGTCGGACTTGGGACCGCTGCTGGGAAGGACTGAGTGCCAACAGGGCTAATCCAAAGCGTACCCTCTGGTAAACAAGATAGCTATTGAAAATTGCCTTTTTTTGATGTTCCAAAGTTATGTTAGTTTACCAGAGGGTATTCACTCCTTCTCCTAGTTCGGAAAAGTGCTCGAAGACATTTTTTTCTGAGCGTCCATTGGTCATGCGGTTTGCTCCAAAACAACATGGACAAACAACGCCACGCGTTCTCAACAAAGGGTTCACCACACACACACAGAGACCAAAAAAACAATCGCGTCAAACTCACGCTTGGAGTATCCGGGACATAAGTAAATATATAGCAAATTATTTCAACTAATTATGTTTAAGTTATCTTTAAAAAAACTAGATCATTGATGCGTTTCATTTCACTGGGACGTGATGGCATACATATTACCTCGGTACCTTGCACAACGTCGTGCTGTCCCCCAGGATCACCTGCCAAGCATCGTTGCCGTTCCTCCTCCTGCTTGCGCAGCTCTTCTGCAATGGCGGCTTCCTTCAACTTTCGCTGAATTTCCTCCTCCTTCTTCTTTCCTTACACTTCGTGATGGATCTACAAGGGCTACATTGCAAAGCTCAAAAGACATGAAAAATGCACTTCTGATCACTTCTGAACATGTGCGCAAGGCAGTAATATCTGGCTTGGGTCATCAAATGGGATAAATCCAACTGCCAATGGCCAAACATCTGAATTGTTCCCGACAGTTGGGTTGCGACCACAATCAATCCCAGACCACAAATCAAAACCAGGCAATAATGTAGCTATACATCTAGGATCCTTTGCGTGTTTCAAGAGGACTTGCACATACAGACATATCTCATCAAATCATTGATTACCGGAAGTTGAGGACTTGCACATACAGACATATCTCATCAAATCATTGATTACCGGAAGTTGATCCCCAAGCCCCACATACTTTCATATCATCCGACCATTCCATAAAACAACGCCTACTGATCCACCCAACTATCAACTCCCATCATTAATCATTCACTACATCAGATGTTCGTATAATACGTATATCTATATATATATATATACACATCACGTTCAGCCAACATGAAGAAACCACCCCGGCCATCCCCATCAACCCATCAACCCATGAACCACACCAAGAGACTCACCTGTTTTCGCCAGGTCTTTTCGGCCAACCAACTCTTATGGTCGGTGCATTGCGCCCAGCGAAGATGGGAGGCCTCCGTCCGTTGCTTTGCGGCTTCCTTTTGCCTCGGGGGGATCCCGGGGGCCACAACGGGCCACCCTTTCGTGTGCCAGGAAGAAAGTTACAGACTGTGAATGGAAGAAATCTTGCAGGTGGTAATTATTGGGTAACTATTGGGTAACTATTGGGTAACTATGAAACACTGCAAATGATAGGGATTATAAGGAGCTAAACGACCAACTGGTTCAGGATTTCTTCCATCCACAATATTTTGGAAGGTGTAAAATCTCAATGACACGGAAAGAAGGGCCAGTTTTTGTGTGGAACGTCGCCAGTGTTGATGTAGAGAATTTCTCAAGAAAGAAATCAGTTTTTGGAGAAATCAGTTTCTGGAGAAATCAGTTTTTGGAGAAATCAGTTTTTGGAGAAATCAGTTTTGATATGGGAAATCACCAGTAAATGGAGATACTGTGACGATCTTCAACTCATGAAAGGAGGCCCACTTCAGAGGAAATATCAGGGCTGGGTCACCAGGTTGGATCCTTCCAATGCTTCTGGCTTCTAAAGATACCCTCTGGTAAACATACAAAAAAACTATGGAAAATCACCACTTTTACTGGGTAAATCAACTATTTCCATGGCCATTTTCAATAGCTACAGTATGTCACAAATTACCAGGCCGGGTACTTCTAGATTTCCTGATCCACCAACCTTTGCTGACTCTCAGCCATATGAAATTCCAATAGATTCGGCCCAGCAAAGGTTTCTGTTTGACGATTGTTCCAAGATCAGGTTGGACAATGCCCCCCTATTTACATCCCAAAATTGCTATATGGCAAATGTAATGCACATGTACTATTTACATATTTGATATATATATATATATAGATATAATTCTATATAATTATATATATATATACACATTATATTATATCCCCCTATTTAAATCCCAAATGTTCAATCCGCCCACGTCACTTGAAGATGTGCGTCACCAGCGGATCTTCGCTGGAACCTGCGAGGGCCTCCGGGTTCAGGCCCTTCAGCAAGTCTTCCAGCTCCATGGCTTTTTTGGACGGCGCGATCCTAAGAGAAACTGACTCCTTTGTCTTAGAAATTCTACGATTAAATATAGGATAATTATATTATGTATCTATAATACATGGGTATATAATATATGGATATAAGATATATGGATATATATATATATATATATATATATATGATATTATATATACATATGGATAATTGTATGTACTGTCTATGATTGTTTATGTATGTGCACATGTGTGTGTTTAAAGAGTGGAAAGTTAGAGTTACAAGTGTTGGTGAAGGAGGCTGCCATCGAAAAAAAATGTTTCTGTACTCTTCTGGGCGAAGAATGGTCACAAATTTGAGGAACTAAAACCGAATGCTGCTGCGGCGAACCGGATAGTATCTGATAGCATAATACAATACAGTATCCGTAGCAAAGTGACAAGAAGATCAAACAATTTTCTATGTCTACATGGTGTCGTTCTTTTTCCCCAACGTGCAAACCTGCAAGCATGCATGTGAACTCGGACTAATTGTGGGCTCTTATCGTCTGATACTGCTCTACATGGGGTTCCAACATGGTCGTACATCAATGCATCTTTAGCACCGTGTGTTGAACCCGGACCAAACATGAACACTTCAATCACAGATGGTTCAGCCAAAATCATGCCAAGGCCTTCCAGTGAAATCATGTTCAACCGTATAAGTCCTTTTTATAGTCCGTATTAATATCCACGAGAAAACATCTTTGGAATCCGAGCGAGCTCTGGATTCCAGGCAGGATGGAAAACACAGTTATATACTCTTCAGTGGAGTGGAGTGTAATGAGATTCCTTCATATTTTCTAGGAAAATTATAATAATTCACTAACCTGAATTAAGGCCATTTGGGGATGATTCCCCTTATTAACCATGGTTCCCAGTGAGGTCGTAGTGAGGTCGTTATAATTTACCCAGCTGAAATGCTCCCCAACATCATGTTCCATGGCTGACACACAAACAATCCTCGCCTGGCTTCACGGAGGACTTGGAGGACTTGGAGGCCTGGCTGAAGCTAAAAACCAACATGGCCATTAGCCATGACCGCATGAATTCATGTAACCCCACACGAAAGCACGGTTTCAAACGGGGTGATATCTATAAATCTATCTAACTAATATTAAAGACAAAGGACGCGTAATTTGACACACTGATTTGTCTTCTTTGGGGCCAAAGATTTTTATCATGTTTGATCCATGCAGTGAATGTTGTCCATTGTTATTCAAGGTCATGGTAGGCATGGGGTTCCGAGTTGGGGACAGTCCAATGCTTCCAAGATGGCTATCTGATTGGTGCTTCGAAGTTCCAAACGAATGTCACCGGGGCATCATCCCAAGCAAGCAGGGATGGAACCAGTGACATTATTCAAGTCGCCAAGAAACCAAGAAGTAGCGAACAAAAACATCATCGAAATATGGTTGTTTCCGACATTTGGAATACCCCAAAAAACATAATATAAAACGGTGTTTTTTTCCCATGAAAAAAACACCAACATCTTGGATAGGTTCTCGGGAAAAGCGTGGCGATTTTACTTGCCTCCTGAGCCCTTTCAACCACATCTTTGGTGTAGCAGGCGGCGATTTCACTGGCGAGGCCCTCAGCAGGGGCCTGTGAGGCAACTCCTCGTGCAGCTGTGCAGCAGGGCCCTAGGGTTGGATGTTACGAATCTCTATTCTTTGTTTTTTCGGCTGCTATATATATATATATATCTATCTATCTATCCATCTATCTATCTATCTCTCTCTCTCTCATTATATATATATATATCTCTCTCTCTCTGATTCATACCAAAAAAAATGATTGAATATAATGACAGAAGTGCGATGCATCCTTTTTTATCTATAATATAAGATACTGTGCCGTAGTGCACGTTCTAATGAACTAGGTTTCTGGTTTCTGGCCGTATCCATCTTCATACATACACAAACAATCACAAACACGTATACAGTATAGACGCAAACGTATGACTAAACACACACACAGATAGATGCATATAAATATGCATATGTAAATATAATGATGTTAATTATTGTTTTTTTTTCTGTTGCAAAAATTCTCCACAAGCTAGACAAAGGAGACAACAAGCAAAAAATAAGCGCCACCAACCCTTCATTATCATCATTATCCTTTGCAACGTTAACCACTGCAAGTATGATGTGGCTTGTTTTTACAGCTGCAATCTAGGTTTGTGAGACACATATGGAACTAAGTCTGCCTGAAGATACACATGGACCTATTGGGGATGGTGGTGCTAAATTTGCGCCCCCGTCCTGTCATGTCTTCCTTTATGGATTTCAAGGTCGCATCAGTGACCTCTTTGAAGGCCTGGCTTGGCGGCCTAAGGCCGCTACTTGTGACCTCAATACATCATGCACACACGTATATCTATATACATATCATCTCTCTATTTGTGTATAGTAAAGGTTTTATATACATACATGTATGCATATAAAGCATATATATATATATTATAAACAAATAGATACATGACAAATCTTATTGGGGGATTATTTTCCACTGACTAACTGGGACGCACATCCAAAACAATACTACACCCGTTAAAACAACTGCTGGATGGCCATGGCGAATATGATGAAACCCCCTTCGTTTCAAGGGGCCGCAAGGGGCAGGGGCCCGCTCTCAAGATCACACTATTCATGCAACATGACCCAATTGACTGAACAACACGTCACTCAAATGTCTATGACACAAACAAAAAAAAACAAGGATACCCTCTGGTAAACTAACATAGCTATGGAAAATCACCATTTTCAATGGGAAAATCCACTATAAATCACCATTTTCAATAGCTACGTTAAATTACCAGAGGATACCTCCAGTGTCGTCAAACATGGCGTGCTCGAACTTCCATGGAATTCGTCCATGGAATTCTTCGATGATTTTCCCATGATGGAAACCTCCAGGGATCTCCGGGGATTTTCCCCATGGTTTTCCCAGGCGGAGCTGACAGGTTTTCCCACCTGCAACTCTTGAAGCTGTTCCAGGACATTGCTGAAAGCCGAATGCCTGGGCGCTCCGGGAGAATCCTCGAAATTCCTCGAATCCGTGTCTGCCGTGTAATGGATGATTAATGGATGATTACCCGGCCTGGTCATTTGTTACAGTTTGCTACTGAAAATGGCTGTAGAAATAGTTGATTTACCATGATTTACCTATTAAAAATGGTGATTTACATATATAAATAGATGTATGACACTTGAATACACTTGACACTTGGCAAAGGATTGACATTTGACATTTGAACATCTAACTATATACACATATAAATAGGTATATACACTGATATACTGGGATGGGAAAATCATCCGTGTGAATAAAGGGATACTATGGGAAATATGTTGTCGGAAAATTGGGCATACCGCCCCACATTTATGGCCATTAAACAATAGGGAAAATGATAATAAACTGCAGTAGATGGAACCTCTCTCATTGGATGATATTTATTATATATATATATCTCTCTCTCTCTGCATCGCCTATGAAATGGAAAGCTTTATTTCAAACAATCCCATCTAAAATGATATACACTGATATGAACCTGTAATATGATATAGTGATACCTTACATATAGAGACATAGCAATAATCATAATACATAGGGCTATAACTCAGTTCTAATTAGATGGGATCAGCTGAATTGAGGGAACTGCCTTACCAAAGTGGGGATATAGCGAGATCAGCATGGTAATTTTGACCATCCGTCGAAATTCTTCCAAGATAAGCCCATGGTTTTCCATGCAACTTCCAGCCCGCAAAAACTGCACAATCATAACAACGATGTTCTCTCAGAAAAAACATACATAATCATACACACACATATATATATGTATATAAATTGTGTTTATCGATTGATTTATAAATTGGTTTATTTCTTATATATATATATATATATTTAATAATTTAATATATTAAATACATGCATACTTGTGTGTGTGTGTGAGAAAAGCTCTGTACATTTACCTAGATGCTTGGATCCGTAACATGCAAAGCGACTGGTGGTGCGCAGCGTCCAGCAGCCAGTTGACCTGACCCAGTGCCACATGGTGCCAGCCGAATAAACACCAGCCTCGGGGGTTGAGATTAAATGTTGCTAACAAAATCTTAAACCACCCATTTGGAACTGGTTTATACCACCTATCTATGGTGATTTGGGGGATGGATTATTATTATTGTTTTACCCACATCAATAGGACAATCGTGTGTTCATAGTGGTAATATGTGGTTCATATTGGGATAGAATGGGAATGTACTCTCCGGTAACCATGGTGTGCTGGAAAATCCTCCACTTTACAAGTTGATTTTGAACAGCGATAGTAAGCCTCGATTTAGTTCAGGGATGTTCAATTGGCATGATTACCGGACAGGCCTGAGATTACCATTTCGATACTTCAACAGTTGAAGCGTAATCTTCTCTGAAAACGTTGTGCAAAATGTGAGAATCCATTCCGCGTCCGGTCGGAGTCAGATTCAAGTTACGCAACTGCTTGGCCCATCGCAAAATATGCTGATTTGGGTCGTCACAGTCGTCATACTAATTTTTATGGACGAAAAACCTGGTGAAGACCCGTTATTTCGAACCAAACAAATTTATCTGGATAACGCTAAAAGTTCCTGATCCCACGTTTAAAAAAATATGTATATATATAAATAATTATCATACATATATATGTATTATATACAGTAAAATACATTTGATGCCTCCGAAATGAACAAATCGAATACTAACCAAGACTTTAGCGTGGTAATTTGTATTTTGGGGATAGGATACACGGAAAAATATGGACCTATTCCCAGTCGCGCCATCTGTGTTTCTCTGTCAACATATTAAAGGCACCCTGATATATACATACATATCATATGTATATATATAATTGTATAAACGAATTACAGTATACAAAAGTTTCCTAATTAAAATTGCGAATTCAAGGTATTTTGGTTTTGGGGAAAGCCCCGGCCCCAATGATGACAAACCCATATTTGCCGCTTTTCCCGAGTGCCCCAAATCACTAGTGACCCTCTTATGACTTCGCAAAACTCATACAGTTCGTTATTGAAATCCCAGTATGTTCCCACCGTTATCCCATTCTTAAATTGCTATCCCATGAACTATTCCCATAATGTGTCCTCCAAGAAGAACGAATAAAGTAGATTCAACCAATGATAGTACAACACGTTTAATTTATATCTTTCCCAATCCCCAATATTAAATTATTAGAAACAAGAACATGGATTACATGGTGGATCAAACGCATATCCACCGGCTTGTGCTTGGCTCCATTGCCAAATCCAAGGCACGCTCTCGAGCAAGGGGCTGGCCGCCAAGTGTGAGGCTTCCAGCACACGGTACGGAGGCTCCATTGCCGTCCTGAGGCAGCTCCAAGGGTGGAAGTGGCAGCCAACACCCCCAAAATGAGAGTTGAAGGGACCAACTATGTGACATATATAGAAATATAAGATGTGAACAATTTATTTTTCTACGATGTAACTGACTTGAAAATGATTTTAAAACCTGATTTTTCAACGGAAACACGGAAACGTGAAGCTTTTTGCCCTCCCGTCTTCCACTCTGGTCTTTGAAGGATGTTGGCTAGGACTCAGGCATGGTGTCAAGTGCTTTCAGGCTGAGAACCTGATCTGTTGCAACAGGCACCATGTGGCTATGGGCATGTGTCTTGGAGAGGCACACGAAGAATTGCAAAGAATGTGTAAACCCAGCATTAAATCATGGCCAAAGTTAAATTCCATCAAAACAATTGAGATTGATGATTGGGCTGGGCACAGACTGTTAAGCACAGTCCGTGCTATATTGCCACATTGTTATGCACATTCACCAACATTTACTGGAATGATTGATTGATTATATTGATACTCTGATGTACCCTCTGGTAATTTAACTATGGAAAATCACAATTTTTAATGGGAAAATCCACTATAAATGGATATAAATGGCCATTTTCAATAGCTATGTAAACGTTTACCAGAGGGTACGTAGATGCTATATCTACAGTGTAGCGCTCTTTCGCTGGGCTGAGGCTCCGAGCAATGCAGCCGGCAGCCGGGACAGCCAGGCGTTTTTTGTAACGGAGCCGTCCAGCCGAGACAGTGCAAGGTGGTGAACTTCAGGGATTTTATGGTAGATATGGCAGTGTGTCAAAACCCTGGTACCCCTGGTGAACATCAAAATAGCTGGTAAATGGATGTTCATCCCCCTAAAAATGGTATTAATAGGTATTGACCCATACCCATATATCGAACTAGTTACTGGGGCTGATCAAACAACAAACATCAACAAACATAACAAACCTAACTGAGGAAACCACTTCAAGCTGAGCTATTCGCGCTCTTCAACGCTCTTAATTCCCAAGAACATGATGCGGGTATATGTATGTATATGTGGCGATCTAAGGATACGGCTTGAAATCTTCGGAAACTCTTTAGAACAAAATGAAATCATGGGATAGCATCATGCAACAGTCGAAGCATGTCGCAAATCAGAAACCAACTGAGCTGTATACTGAATTCTTCATCATGTGTGACACGTGACACTGCCTTAGCACCCTCAAGTCTCCCAAGAGACATCAATTCCTCCCTTGGTGAAACATCAATCCAACCCATGAACCAAACATCCACCAAGGTCCGACTTACATGGCAGAACACCTAAAAGCGTAAAATCACAGAAACATACATGACTTGAAGGCAGAATCAATTCATCGATGCGTCAATGAAACCAGCAATCCAAAATTAAGCAGATCCGAAACTAAACTAAACCATTGTAAACCATCCGTTTCAAAAAAAAGGTGCAATCAAAGATATAGTCACTGGATTGTTTTTTTCGGGAAAATCTACAGGAAAGCTAAGTTTTCCATAGTTTTCCTATGAGATATGGAGGTTTCCTGTAAGCTTTCCCTTAAAGCAATCCATTGATGAAACCAACCCAACTCATGGCTGGGCCCTGCCACCAACATGGCCGCACGCAACAAGCGCTGCTGATGCAAGTCGTGCTTCAAATGCTGGCCTTGGAACATCGGGTCAGTGTTGGTCCACTGGATGACATGTCTATGGATTTAATTGAACATATCATGGAATATTCATGGAATATTAATGGAATATTAATGGGTTATATATATATATATATCATGTTTCCATTCGCTTTCAAGCGGGAAACATGAACCTTCATCCTTGGATTCACATCTCATGGAGATTTTTAGGGGAAACTGTGTGCCCGTGCGTGTGTTTTACAATCACATATCAGGATTTCCTGTCAGCTTTCCGTTAAGCCATTCAGGATATGGATCCATATTGGCAAACGACATGACAACATGAAATCATATCTAGATGTTTTGGCCCGGCCACCAGATACCTTTGTCCATTTAACCCCACTGTTTTTCCTGACTTTCATGGCATGAAAACAATGTAATGTAGCCGCATTTGAGCTCATACATATGATATGACCAGCCAAAATATGCTCGCAAACTGGAATCATCATGCCACACTCATGGCGATGGCCAAGACAAAGTTCGCAACAACATACCCCTGAATAAGCTGTAAGCCCAAGCTCAACGTAACAGAAATGGCACCCAAGTGATGTGAACCAACAACTCATATCAATGATGGTCAATGGTATGATTCACCCCTGGATCAAAGGTTGTATTCAAAATCTGCCCAGTGGCGTTCCTTTTGAAGCAGCTCCAGCTTTTGCAGAGCCTGCGGCTCCATGGTGGTCCCGGTGGCTGGGTGGCTGGAAAATTCTCATCTTGGCATGGTTAATCTTGGATACACTGCATTCCTCTTTTTGCTGATTAGCTTATTATAGAAAAAATACTTTATTTATTCATTTATTTATTGATTTATTTATTTATGTATTTATTTGTATATATATATATATATACATTGACATGCTGTACATATTCCCATTCGTAGCAAAACAATGCCAGACTATCCAGGGCTACCCGAGGTTGACACACTTAGCATGTGGCTATAGTAATAGCAAGACTGGCTGGGAAGTCCCCGTGACTGTGTTCATTGCATACATGTGGCAGTGAGGTTACAAGACTATAGAAAATTGAACTTTGACTTTTGTAAAAGATAATTGCTGAAAATCTAGTATAAATATTTATAATTTTAGTTAAGATAACACAAATAATGTGTAAGAATGCAAACTAACAGTGTCGTAATGATGCAAGAAGCAAAGCCTCCAAGTGATAGTTGTATCACCGCTGGAAATGACAGAAACAGTTGGTTCTCCCTAATATTGAGTACCACCCCGAAAACTCTGCTTCAGGGTTGGATCTGGGCATGTTTGATAGGGGGATTATTTAATACTAGTGGGATTAGATCCCTTTCCTTCCTGCATCCAGCCAGCAGAAACACGCCTCTGTGGCACCGCTTGCGTCTTCCCGCGCTTCCCCAGGATAGCCTTGAAAGTGATCCGGCTGCTTGGGACCAACATGGAGCAACCAAACATCCCAGTTGGAATCTGAGCATCTGGCCGTTCGCATCGCCACGCTGTCGTTGCCGTCGCCTCTCAGCTCTCATTGCAGCCATCTCAAAGAGTGAAGGCCTCTGCCAAGCACAGGAATATTGATGCTCTTTCTCATCGCCTCTCGTTCAGATGATTTAATCTGGGTGTGTTTTTCAAAAATGAGGACTGGCCCAGCCCAACAGCAATTTACATGTGTCAGGGGATGCACCATTTTGACCCAAAAAATGGAGTCTTGGGTAGGCTGGTGCCCTAGCCCTGCCAGTTGGACCAGGAATACCATCCCATGGTCAGACTGTGGTTCCCCAGCATCGAGGGCGTACACCCGCAAGCCTTGAGACACACATGCTGCACATGCTGGTACACTGTGGGGCCTATGGGGATGTCATCCATGCTGCTGTAGTGACAATAGTATACTGGTTGGTGGTTTTAACAATCTTAAAAAATATTAGTCCATGGGAAGGATTATCCCATATATTATGAAAAGAAATGTTTGACACCACCAACCAGATAATCTATGTTTCCACTCCCTCTCCCTGTCATCTCATTGAAGACACACACATGGTCTTGGCATGTCTTAGGCACTGCTGATTTGGCACCACTGACATCCACAATGAAGCCGCTACCATCTCAGTGTCAAGCGCAACGCGGAGCATGGGACTGTGGCCTGAGGCATGGCAACCGATGGCATGGCAATCATCTTGGTCCATAGATGGCTTTCGGCTCACAAATAAACATCACAAACATCTGGTAATTATCTTAAGAAGGCCAACGGGCTATTGGAAAAAAAGGATAAACAAAAAAAAGTGCGTAGGGCTATTGATTGGATGTTGGTTGTACTTGAGGTTGAGAGTAAGATTGTATTCGAATGGGTCCATTGGTCACGCTGTCCACCTGCGAACATCAGATCCCACAGACTTTCGGTTTCTGAGAGTCCAGCACGTCCATCTGCTTTCGACCCCATGTCACCAAATCAAAGAATTCACCGCTGTGTCAAAGTTGACGTTTGGTGAAGTCCCGTGGCTTCTTGAATGCAACGAGTAGCTACTTGCTATTGCTTTGATTGAGCATTTCCTGCAGTCATTGAACTGGTGAACTGTCAATTTCCATGACAGCCATCACTGGGATGCGGCTTCTGAAAATTTCGGTGGCAAATGGTGGCCCCCCAAAATCCCACGATAAGTCCTTATTGTTAACGTTTCATGGCCCGAGTGGGCAACGAGGCCTACATTTTCACAGCCATACGAGGCCGGCTGCGGTGATTTGTTGCAGCGCTACGAGAACTGGTGAGCCAAATGCGCCAGTCTGAGGACATACCAGTTCCTCATCTCATTTTAGGGGTTTCTAGGCTGTACAACCTCCCAACACATGGGATTGCAAGAGACATGAGCCATCCTTGTGTAGTACATATTAGCTTTTGGACCACCCGCAAAGATCGAAAAACAGCCTGAATTCGGGTAATATTCCATCACTCCACGACGACAGATCAGGATATATCGAAAGAGATTCCTCTAGCTGTATATTGTGTACTATTATACTTGTCAACAGCCTGCAAAAGTCCCAGCAAGAAATTGAAAAGTGACCATTAGTTGAAACAAGCAAGATGCAAATTGCGTGGTGGCATACAGTGCGCTCATTGTTCTCGCGTACATGGCCATTTAGACATATTTAGACATCTGATTTCTCAAAATGTATGTGGCATTCAACCAGCATCCTAGGAGTCCTAGTAATTCACAACATGGCTTTGTCTGCCCAAAAAAGGTCCATCAAATCCCACTGATGGAGCTGCCTTGCGCGCCGCCTTTTTATCGCGCGCCTTTTGACGTGAACTCTGCGGGATCTCAATCAGACCTGAGCGGCTTCACGGTTTCACCCTGTGACTTGATCAGGGTTGATGAACAATAACTATCAATAACTAAGATACAGTATCGCACCATCTTCCTTTGTAGATATTTTTTGTTTTTGTTTCCAGTTGCTTCCTGATGCAGGATCGAAGTAGACACATCTTCGAAACATGTTCAAACATTCTTCCCCACCTACCAGGTGAGTGTCCCTAGATTTAAACAAAGGTGCAACTCCTTCCTCTTGTTTTTCCTTCTTCTTCTTCTTCTTCTTCCCTCCTCGTCTCCTCCTCTGCCATCTTGTCGCTACTCTGGGCAGCAATGGACCCGATATCGCGAGCTCTGGATGCAGTGCGCCACGTCTGGACCCGAACATAGAATGTCTGAATAGATGCCAGGAAGACTGCCAGATAGAATGTGAGAACATCTGTGAGATACAATGCCAAAAAGAATGTCAGAATAGATGCCAAATAGAATGCCAGAATAGATGCCAGAGAGAATGTCAAAATAGATGCCAAATAGAATGCTAGAAAGAATGTCAGAATACATGCCAGAAAGTATGTCAGATAGAATGTCCGAGCATATACTTCCAAATATCAAATAGTATGTCAGAAACGATGTCAGAATAGTGTTAGGGTGGGGATCACTCAAAGTAGGTAGTTTTGAAGACAGCGGATGGACACTTCATGAAAGCACTGATGTTGGGACCCTGGGTTGGGGTATCCCTCCATTTAGGGGCCAGTTCGCAGGGAACATGGTGATGAAGTGATAAACTATACCCTCTGGTAAATTAACATGGACCCTGAAAATCACCAATTTTTAGAGGAAACTAATCTTTCAACCCCTATCTGGCAGGGTCTATGTTAATTTACTGGAGGGTAGTGGATATAGGCTTGCACTATGTTACGCTAGTGCCTATTTTCAAACTGCCACAGCTATGAAGTGGAAATACCATGGAAATACTAAACTTTCTGACTACTTGGGACGACAATGCAGGACACTTGCAGGCACCAAATGGGCCACGTGGCAATGGAACCCATTTACTTCGATGGTCCCATGAACACCACCCCCATTTACTCGGAATGTAACGGCTCCGCAATGGATCAGATTTTTGACGAGGCTCACGTACAAAGTACATCAAAGTACCATAGCTCATCTTTGGTCCCGTCCAAAACATGAGCCAATTTCTCGCTGGGAAGTGTATTTCTTTAAATAAACAAATATATCAGAGACACACGTCGTATATTATAATTATTTACTCCCACTGTCCTCCTTCTGATCAAGTGAAATAAAATACACATAGTTCCACTAATTCCTTCCCCTCTATTCACACCAACGCTTGGAGCGCAATTTCGCTTGGTGGATGGCCGGGGATGTAGCTCCCAGGCATCTAACTGGAGAACAGCCATAGGCCATAGACAATGGCACATTTATCATTCAGAGATGATCTAGCTCTCAAATGTCTAGAGTTTCCTGTGCGAGCTGCTGAATTACCAAATCATCATTGGTTGATACTGGTTGTACACCCATCCTATGCCCAAGTTTATCATGTGAATGTTGCCCTCTGGTAAACTAACATAACTATGGAAAATCACCATTTTTAATGAGAAAATCCAGTATAAATTGCCATTTTCAATAGCTATCTTAGTTTACCAGAAGGTAAATCACCATGTTTGCCATATTTTTCTTGGCCATTTCTTGTGCCAACCATCCCATAGTGGGCTACTTTTTTTTCACCGAGGGACGTAGCCATGGGCACAGGAGCGCTGTTCCGAGTGGCCTTGAAGAAGATGCAAGTGTATCTGCAGCATGCAGCGCGCTGCTTAACGCCGTGAAACAATGGACTGGTTGAATCACTGGATTGGTTTAAGGGAAAATTTACAGGAAACCATGGTTTTTACCATCAAATATAGGGCTTTCCTGTAAATTTTCCCATCATCCAATTCTATGATGGAAAATTGAAACTTGAAACCACCATATTTCATGGGAAACACATGGAAAACCCATGGGTTCCGGGCTAAGACTTCCCCTGCAACCAACCCATTGAAACCAGTGGTTCTGCCAAGAACAAAATCCGGATGTCATATGACTTAAAGCAACAACAATGGTGGAACTTCATGGATTTCATCATGGGATAACAAGCCTCTGGAAGGTTCACGGTTTGCTATGGGAAATCTGTTTTTTTTGGGGGGTATAGTAAGATGTATAGACCATCTATGAATGGGCCATCTTCCAAGGCTATGTTTGACTTTAATCCGGCTGGATTCATAAACTACCAGTTTACTAACGGTGAAGTACGAACTTGAATGGTAATGTATCACCATTCTCGGGGTAACCCACAAGATGAATAGTCAGGATTTTATGCATCCCGGGTTGACATGAACCCAAAATAATATAAAATAATCAGCAGAAAAAAACTCAAGATTGCGTGAATAATGGATTAGAACAGAACTTCCATGATGAACATTCAGCAATACTTGGTATCCCTGATGCTTGGACAAACCCAACAAAAATGGAAATTCAAAGTGGGGATCTAATCTTGAGAAATGGTTGTCGACGGATAGCTTGAAGGGAAAATTTGCAGAAACCTTGGTTTGTTTCCAAGTGAATTCAAAGGACGGTTCCTGCAGAGTTTCAATTTAACCCAATTCCTGGTTATGGTGTCAACATGTTTGCCCACCTTTTGATCCGTACACACATACAGGACCAAAAAAAAAAACAGAACCAATGAATTTTGCATGTTCATCCAGTCCTCCATACCAATCATTGACCGGAGTAGATTCTGAACCATCAGTAGCAATTGCAAAGAACTCGGAAAAATTTGATTCGGGATCGCGGGATGCTTCTCGCAAGCTTTCTTATCAATCCATTTCGGCCCTGTCCCAAACAGTCCCAACATGGTCAACTGGTTGGTGGTATACCTACCCCTCTGGAAAATATGAGTTCGTCAGTTGGGATTATGAAATTTCCAATATATGAAAAAATCATCCAAATCGTCCAAACCACCAACCAGTAATATCATTTAATAGCCATATTAATTAGCCATATTAATTAGCCATATTAATTAGCCATATATCTGGGGTAAATTATAGTATTTCACTCACCTGAATCTTGCGGCCATAAAAGGGGATGATTTCCCCTTATTAATAAACCATCCATGCCCATCCTACATTGGATATCAGGGCCATGTCATCCCCTACGGCCCTACATCCACCATGGCCCTGACTGCATTTGCATCAACGACTGTGCGTTTTGAGCCTGGCACCAGCAAGGTGGTTCTGCAACTGGTCATGGGCGCCCATGAGTATTTTGAATATGTCTTGAATATTCCTTTGTACTAATTTAAAATGATATATGATATATGTATATATAAGACAACTGGGATATATATTATGATCAGTATGGATGACACACAATATATATATATATATAATTATATATATATATATTATACATATCATTGATATGTATGAATATTGTATATATATATATATATATATTGACTATGAAAAATCAAACTTTCCGAAGAATGTAGAAATTAAGGCGCAGAATGTAGAAAGTAAGGGAATCATCGTAACACCGCAAATCATGCATGTCATGTGTATCTTACAGCTACAGGTACTTGCCAGCGAATGCTCTCTGCATCAACGGCGGGCTAGACATCTCAAGCACCAGCAATCTGGAAGTTCCTTCCCAAGCAATCTTTTGACCCGGGAATCCAGACCAGAAAAAGATCCAAACAGAATGTGGGCAGTGTCTTCCAAATCTTCCACTAGTATCACCCCGGGCTGCCACATCCACCATTTTCCATTTGCTGGATGCACGTCACCCAAACTCATTATTTGGAAACAACCCTGAATCGCATGAATCATAAACCACAACCATTTGCACCTTGCACCTTGCACCCACCATTTCTCAATGTAGTCACATTTCATCACCACAACTCATTCAACAGCTTTGAAGTAACCGAGCTATGCTTGAGCCGCCCTACGTGTAAAGCATCAATCCATTCCTCCTCCTGAGCCCAAATCACGGGCTGGACCCTCCCACGGGCGACGGGGCAAACCCCGGATCCCCCATGGAAAGGCAAAGCTGGATCACAAAAGGGCGAGCAAAATCTGCAACAAAAGCGGATTTTGAGAGCGGTTCCTTTGGCTTCATGGGTCCTAACTGGTCCTAACTGGTCCTAACTAATATCAATTACTACAAAGATCTACAAAGTGGTGTGCTGAAACTGTTCCTGTCACATCCTGTCACATCCTGTCACACTATCCCGGCATCCTGGATGTCGAAGAAGTGCGAGAGGGCAAATTTGATTTCCTGCCGTCAACAAAATCTGGGATCACCTGGGATCACCTGGGAAAGTTTGACATTCGCATATATTTGCATGTGTAATAACATATGTGCATATGTATTATGGTTAAAAAAAACAATGCATATAATATAATATATATATATGTTTATGCAGTGATACAACATGTTTGTAGTAGCTAGTAACCAAACCAGGGTGCATCTCCCAACGCGGTGTCCCTTCTTTGAACAAATCAATATAATAAAACACCATCATCTCGTGGGCATGCTCTGTCCCAAGTCTGTGACCTGACTTCAACCAAGGGAGTCCTTCAAAACACCAGAACACAGCAACTTCCCTGGATTTATATTTCAAATCCTGTCTGCATTCCCACAGAGGTGTAACGAAGGAGAACACATGTGAATGATCCTACATGGTTGCGTTACGTCCTCTCATACCCCATGCCTCACTGTCCCAACGAGGTATTTGTGATCCAATGTTCTAGGCATTCGGGTGTTTCATGATCGTTTTCAAGCGCGCATAGACCCCCACAGCTTCGAGAACAGCGAGGCAAAAGATCGAGACAAAAACACACTCTTCTTGGATCAAAGATCCAAACAGTGGCCAATTCAGCATCAAAAATCGAGATGGAAGTTCTGTTTTCCACTGTGCCACTACTTTGACTTTAACCAACAAAAACAAAATGTGACACAGTGAGATCTCAACGAGGCACCTCCCAACTCAGTTCCAGTCCATGGCCAATGGCCTGAACGGATGTGTATATGATATGCGGAGACATGCGCACCAGTATTGTTTACCATCATATGGCAGTGTGTCAAAACCTTGTACCCCTGGTGAACATCAAAATAGCTGGTAAATGGATGTTCATCCCCCTAAAAATGGTATTAATAGGTATTGATCCATACCCATATGCCTGACTATAGACCAGTGTGTGTGTGTGCGTGTAAGTGTAACCTTGCATAACTAGAAATATTTAAGCATACCTCTGTCATCCATAGTCAATGTGGTCTCTTGATCGAGTCAGGCAACAAGTGAGCGCTCGTCGCACTGGGGTATGTTTTCAGGCAGGGATGGAACTGAAGGAATCTATGTATATAATATAAATATATAGAGTGATAGACAACGCCTGTGATCTTTCAAGTATGAATGAGCTGACCCAAACAAATCCAAGTAGATGCTTCCCCTCTTCTATGCTCCATTCTGCCGAGGCAGAGTCAGGACTTTTTATGTCCAAGGCGACCTTCAGGTAGAGGCGGGCCATTTCTGACTAGTTGTAGTGTAATATAAAAACAAATACGTTTAATCAACTTGTTGACCGTTTTATGGCTACATCCCTTCCAAATGTGGAAGTTAAGTTCTTCCTTTCAACCAATTTAAGACACCACACATGGTCAATCCAGTTTGCGCTTTTCCCTTCAGGCAGCCATCCTCCACTCGACAAGAGGGAAGAATTTTCGCGCAACGTTGGGGCGTCACTGGCTGAAGTCATCTCGTACGTTGGGACCGCTGGGTCTCAACCTGAACGAACGTAGGAGTTCCTGCTGATTTCTTCAGTTCCAATGGGAGCTATAGGGCCGCCCGCTTGGCCATGAACAGAACTTGATTCAGTGACATTTAGATGCAAATTATACATGTACATGTACATATATATATATATATAATTATATAGTAATACACATAAAGGTGTATTACAGGTGTGTATGTGTATATATATATATATAGATACTGTGCATATATCTAAGCTCTAAGATGATGTATGTGCTCTTAGGATCATCCAAAGAGTCCATCCACAGCTGTACAAATGATCTGCCGCCGCTTGGTTGCAATGCCTTCAACATTCAGTGAAAAAAAAAGTCAAGTCCAAAAACAACAACTAACTGGTGCTTTCTTAGGGAAATGATGGGAAATCATGGGAAATGGATGATTAACAATATGCCCCATTCCCCAGTAAGAATGATCCTTTTGGAGAATATATATATATATTCCCATATATTCCCATCATTTCCCATCATTCCCCCATTGATCATTCATTTCCCAGTCCCTTTCGTAAGCACCAGAAAAAACCTGGGCTTCAAGGATATTGCATCTCCGCAGGATCTTGAACCCAAACTGGAGAACTATATGATGCCCAAAAATACCTCCATGAAATATCGTGAAACCCACACACACATACATATATATATATATTATAATAAATATTGTGTATACCTGATGGTTAATAATCCTCAAATATCCTGAACATTATAGAAAGATAGATAGATAGATATCTACATATAGATATACATATATATATATATATATACACAAAAAGGGACACAGCTGCGCAACTCCCAACGGACCGGACAAAGCGAGGCTGGATTCACTGCTTCGGCGCTAGCTTTTCATCCTCCAACAAATACCTGCGATGCGGCCGGAAACGGTTGATATAAGGTGAAGGATGCGGCCTCTTTGGACGACGTATTGACTAAATGTGTCTAAATGTAAAAATATATATAAAAATATGACTCTGCAAAAATCTCTGTATGTATTGAAATCGATTTTCGGCTCATGGTCTCATAACATGATGTAAAGTCTGAGAACTTGTCAAAATCTTCGACCATAGAACATCAAAACTTATCAACATGTAGGTAAATGTGCTTTTTTCATACTCAAGCAGCATCTGGGAGCATTACAGTCTTTCAGAAACGAATGCTAGTGGCTGGTCTATATCATGTTGCACAAGCCGGAGGGAGGGACCCTGCTTCAAGGGCAACGACAACTACTTTGATCATCATGTTTTGACGATCTTTGATGATTCGGATATGTTCGGATACCCTCTGGTAATTTAACATAGCTATGGAAAATCACCATTTTTAATGGGAAAATCCACTATTTCTATGGCCATTTTCAATAGCTATGTTAGTTTACCAGAGGGTAGTAGATGGGGGCACTTCAAATGGGGTTGGAAAGCAATAAATAGGTTCATTCAGAATTTCAGAAGATGCAGCACCCCCCCACTGCACATCTTACCCTCTGGTAATTTAACATAGCTATGGAAAATCACAATTTTTAATGGGAAAATCCACTATTAATGGTTATTTTCAATAGCTACGTTAAATTACCAGAGGGTACTCCTTACTGCACATGATTGGGCCAACCTTTCCCACCTTCCCCCTGCCGCTGCCACCAAGAAACATGGTCGCCATGGGAATGCCACGAGACATGGCAAAAACGCCCATCACAAACACGAAAGGGCCCAAATATCTTGGCCTGCAAAAAACGGTGCGTTTTCATGCAAAGATCTGCAAAGATTGGTTCCCTCGAGTAGTGGAGAACCTCCGATAAATTGATAAATGACGATTTAAATGGACACATCATCCATAAATGACAGATCCGCCCAAAATTGGGAACATCCATAAATGATCATAAATGCCATAAATGATAGATGCTCCATGATTTTCCAGTGCCCTGTTTCTTTACGAAAGGGCAACGTTCAACAAAAATATGGCCATTTTCTGCGCCCTTTGGACGGCAGAACGATACCTGGAAGATGACTTGCTCCAAGGGCGCAAGATTCTCCTGCTGCCACTTGGATCGTTTGCTAAGTTGTTTCATAATCTTCAGGGATTTCTATATATATATATATGTAATATCCGCCGACCCCGGCCGACCGCAAGGGGGAGCGCGTCAGGGAAGAGAGGTTGTGGACAACAAGAAATACAACAACGGGTCGGGGACCAGCAGCAGCAGCAAAAGCCTCTGCAGCAGCAGGAGGAAAAGGTAGCCAAAATTCATAGCAGCAGCAAGAGGAAAAAGCAACCAAAATCATCATTTTCTATGCGTTTTCGTTAGGCATTTATGGGGTGCAATTTTGGGTTTTCTCCGTCCTTCACTGCCATGGTGTTTTCCCATCCAGCAGCAGCCAGCAGCAGGCAGGAGCAGGCAGCAGCAGGCAGCAGCAGGAGCGGCAAAGTTTCAATTTTATAGTAGGGTTTCAGAAGTGACGTTAGGCCCTTTTTTGGGGTTCCATTGCTACGTTTTTGCTCTTTCGGATGTGTTTCGAAAAGGGTGTCTGGCTGTTTGTTTCTTGCTTTGGAGGCTGTTTGATTGCAGCAGCACCACAGCAGCACCACAGCAGCACCACAGCAGCAGCAGGAGCAGCCACCAGTAGCAGCACCAGCAGCAGGCAGCAACAGGCAGCAAGCAGCTTCTGCCAGCAGCATGCAGCAGCAGGCAGCAGCAGGCAGCAGCAGGCAGCAGCAGGCAGCAGCCAGCAGCAGGCAGGAGCAGGCAGGAGCAGGCAGCAGCAGGCAGCAGCAGGCAGCAGGCAGCAGCAGGCAGCGGCAGGCAGCGGCAAAGTTTCAATTTTATAGTAGGGTTTCAGAAGTGACGTTAGGCCCTTTTTGGGGTTCTGCATTCAACGCTGCGGCACGCTTGCGGATGGCAGCTTGGACTGTGGCCACATGACATGCGTTGCAGACCCGTGTGCCATGTTGACCCCGGCCGACGCAAGGGGGAGCGCGCCAGGGAATAAGACATTTTCCGCCGACCATTTGGAAGCTTGCAACAGCAGCAGCAACAGCAGCAGCAGCAGCAGCAGCAGGCAGCAGCAGGCAGCAGTAGGCAGCAGCAGGCAGTCACAAAGCCATGCAGCTTGTACTTATAAGGGTAAGCAGCAGGCAGGCAGCAGCAGCAATATGATGTTTCGCAGTCCGGGGCCCGCGTTTTTGTAGTCTAGGATTCCCGAAGAGATTCCCTAGCATTTGGGATTCTCTAGGTAGCAGCCAGCAGCAGCGAGTAGCCAGCAGGGCCAGCAGTCAAGAAGCAGGTAGCAGGCAGCCAGTCGAAGCCTGATGCACAAAAAAAGAGATATTTTTTCTAGGAATTCAGAAGGGGCGTTAGGCAGTTTTGGTGGGTAAGTTTGAGCACGGTTTCGGCACGCAATTAGGTGCTGTTTTGCTGTGGCGAAGGGTCCCTTCTGGAAGCCTGATGCTTGCAGCTTGGAGCTACCAAACAAGAGCTGCAGGAGACAAATAAAGATAGATTTTTTCTAGGCATTCAGAAGGGACGTTAGGCAGTTTTTGTGGGTAAGTTTGAGCACGGTTTCAGCACACAATTAGGTTCTGTTTTGCTGTGGCGAAGGGTTCCTTCTGGAAGCCTGATGCTTGCAGTTTGGAGCCACCAGACAACAGCTGCAGGAGACAAAAAAAGAGAAATTTTTTCTAGGAATTCAGAAGGGGCGTTAGGCAGTTTTTGTGGGTAAGTTTGAGCACGGTTTCGGCACGCAATTAGGTGCTGTTTTGCTGTGGCGAAGGGTTCCTTCTGGAAGCCTGATGCTTGCAGCTTGGAGCCACCAAACAACAGCAGCAGGAAACAAATAAAATAAAAAAGAGAAATTTTTTCTAGGAATTCAGAAGGGGCGTTAGGCAGTTTTTGTGGGTAAGTTTGAGCACGGTTTCGGCACGCAATTAGGTGCTGTTTTGCTGTGGCGAAGGGTCATTTTTGTGGGTAAGTTTGAGCACGGTTTCGGCACGCAATTAGGTGCTGTTTTGCTGTGGCGAAGGGCCCCTTCTGGAAGCCTGATGCTTGCAGTTTGGAGCTACCAGACAACAGCTGCAGGAAACTAAAAAACAAAAAAAGATAGATTTTTTCTAGGAATTCACAAGGGGCGTTAGGCAGTTTTTTTGGGTAAGTTTGAGCACGGTTTCGGCACGCAATTAGGTGCTGTTTTGCTGTGGCGAAGGGTTCCTTCTGGAAGCCTGATGCTTGCAGCTTGGAGCCACCAAACAACAGCTGCAGGAGACAGAAAAAGAGATTTTTCTAGGAATTCAGAAGGGGCGTTAGGCAGTTTTTGTGGGTAAGTTTGAGCACGGTTTCGGCACACAATTAGGTGCTGTTTTGCTGTGGCGAAGGGTCCGTTCTGGAAGCCTGATGCTTGCAGCTTGGAGCCACCAAACAACAGCTGCAGGAGACAGAAAAGAGAATTTTTTCTAGGAATTCAGAAGGGACGTTAGGCAGTTTTTGTTGATAAGTTTGAGCACGGTTTCGGCACGCAATTAGGTGCTGTTTTGCTGTGGCGAAGGGTTCCTTCTGGAAGCCTGATGCTTGCAGCTTGGAGCCACCACACAACAGCTGCAGGAGACAGAAAAATATTTTTTTTCTAGGAATTCAGAAGGGGCGTTAGGCAGTTTTTGTGGGTAAGTTTGAGCACGGTTTCGGCACGCAATTAGGTGCTGTTTTGCTGTGGCGAAGGGTCCGTTCTGGAGGGCTGATGCTTGCAGCTTGGAGCCACCAAACAGCAGCTGCAGGAGACAGAAAAAGAGACTTTCTCTAGGAATTCAGAAGGGACGTTAGGCAGTTTGTGGGGATAAGTTTGAGCACGGTTTCGGCACGCAATTAGGTGCTGTTTTGCTGTGGCGAAGGGTCCGTTCTGGAGGGCTGATGCTTGCAACTTGCAGCCACCAAACAAGAGCTGCAGGAGACAGAAAAAGACAGACATTTTTTCTAGGACTTCAGAAGGGACGTTAGGCAGTTTTTGTGGATAAGTTTGAGCACGGTTTCGGCACGCAATTAGGTGCTGTTTTGCTGTGGCGAAGGGTTCCTTCTGGAAGCCTGATGCTTGCAGCTTGGAGCCACCAAACAACAGCAGCAGGAAACAAATAAAATAAAAAAGAGAAATTTTTTCTAGGAATTCAGAAGGGACGTTAGGCAGTTTTTGTGGATAAGTTTGAGCACGGTTTCGGCACGCAATTAGGTGCTGTTTTGCTGTGGCAAAGGGTTCGTTCTGGAGGGCTGATGATTGCAGCTTGGAGCTACCAGACAACAGCTGCAGGAAACAAAAAAACAAAAAAAGATAGATTTTTTCCAGGAATTGAGAAGGGGCGTTAGGCAGTTTTTGTGGATAAGTTTGAGCACGGTTTCGGCACGCAATTAGGTGCTGTTTTGCTGTGGCGAAGGGTTCGTTCTGGAGGGCTGATGCTTGCATGCAACTTGCAGCCACCAAACAAGAGCTGCAGGAGACAGAAAAAGTCGACATTTTTTCTAGGAATTCAGAAGGGACGTTAGGCAGTTTTTGTGGATAAGTTTGAGCACGGTTTCGGCACGCAATTAGGTGCTGTTTTGCTGTGGCGAAGGGTCCGTTCTGGAGGGCTGATGCTTGCAACTTGCAGCCACCAAACAAGAGCTGCAGGAGACAGAAAAAGACAGACATTTTTTCTAGGAATTCAGAAGGGACGTTAGGCAGTTTTTGTGGATAAGTTTGGGCACGGTTTCGGCACGAAATTAGGTGCTGTTTTGCTGTGGCGAAGGGTCCATTCTGGAAGCCTGATGCTTGCAGTTTGGAGCCACCAGACAACAGCTGCAGGAAACAAATGAAATAAAAAAGAGATATTTGTTCAAGGAATTCAGAAGGGGCGTTAGGCGGTTTTTGTGGGTAAGTTTGAGCACGGTTTCGGCACGCAATTAGGTGCTGTTTTGCTGTGGCGAAGGGTTCCTTCTGGAAGCCTGATGCTTGCAGCTTGGAGCCACCACACAACAGCTGCAGGAGACAGAAAAATATATTTTTTCTAGGAATTCACAAGGGACGTTAAGCAGTTTGTGTGGATAAGTTTGAGCACGGTTTCGGCACGCAATTAGGTGCTGTTTTGCTGTGGCGAAGGGTCCGTTCTGGAGGCCTGATGCTTGCAGCTTGGAGCCACCAAACAAGAGCTGCAGGGGACAGTAATTCACGAGCTCAAGACCCAGACTCTGGTTGAAGTCGTCGAGGAACTGCTCAGGGGGGTGAAGGGGTTTGGTGGGTGGGTGTTCTTACTATATCAAAATATCTTGTCAAATATATTGCATTCAAAAATATTAAATATACCTTATGAAATACTGAAGAATATTTAGGTCAATCTTGTGACCTTGGTAATCCACCGACTATGTCACTTTGTCCGAAGTCTCTGGCCTTCCCCAGCTTCTTCACATTCTTTTCCGGGGTTGGCGGCAGGGGCGGCAGCCCTTAAATACTTATTTATATATATATATTCAAATGAATATATATATATATATATATATATTCGTATAATGAATATATATATATATGGATTTATGGATATTTATGGTAGGTATATCTATATAGATTCAAACAAATATGGCTTATAAACTGGGCACCACCTTGTGGCTGGATTTGTGCAGCGAGCCCGCTGTCCTCAAGTTCAGAGATGTTGTGGGCCTACGCCAAACGCTCCAAGGTTGGGTGCTTCCCAGCAATGCACACATTCCTCTTCATTTTCCACAACATCACCATTTTTGGGAGACATCAACCATTTTTGGGGGTGAAATATTCCATAAATTCCACAACATCAACCATTTTTGGAGGTGAAATATTCCATAATTTCCACAAACTCACCACTTTGTTTGAAAGCAGACTACTCATTTTTCACAAAATCACAATGTTTTTTGCCAAAAAAACCATTTGGCTGAATTATAAGAATTCACCAGCTGTTCTCAAATGCCATGTGGGGATGATTCACGGCAATCGAAGCATCATTCCAGTGTTGTCAGTGAGTCCATTGTGATTCATCCGGATAATATGTATGGGTGGTATATGGGTCAATTACAGCCATTCACCTAACCTGACATCACTGAAATACACCAATTTGGGATGATTCAAGTTGAATCATCTACAGTACAGTGACGGAGCAAGGAGATCGTTATCACCCAGATTCACATCCAATTCGTATATCATAGATTAAATCATGTATAATATCAATATCCATGACACCCCTTACGGAGGCACTTGCACATTTCAATATATATATACATATACACTAGTATATATATAATACATGTATATATATATATATATAATATGTATATATATATGCGTATGTATATATGCGTATGTATATATACGTATGTAAATATATTTGTGTATATATATATATGTATATAAATATATGTATATATATATATATCCCCCTTGTGTTATCCTTTGAAACTTTTATCACCATTGCATCGCCATGGTCTTATATCAAATGATATGGGTACTTCTGATCTGTATATGCCAAAATTTATCCAAATGTGATGAAGTGTGTGTGTGTGTGTGCATGCATATATACATACATTATATACAATACATTCATTATATACAAATATACATATACACACATACACGTCTGCATTAAGAAGTAAGAAAAGGTGCACACACACATATACATATGTATATATATATGTATAAATACAGATGTATGCAGAACGCTGCCTTGTACAATATATATATATATATATATATATATAGGCGACATATATTCATCCAATCATATGGTTATACAATAACAGTGATCCGGACCTTAACGAGGCCTTGGCAGTTTTTGCCACGCCCGGCGCCTCGTTTCTGCCTGCGAATGGAGCCAGGAAGGTCCTCCGGGTGAGCCTCTCTGACCTGATGCAGTCGTTTATCGGACTTGGGAACTTGGGAATCCATCAGAAACCTACAGTTGAAATGATTCAATGGACTGGCTTAAGGGAAAATCTGCAGGAAACCATAGATTTTCCCAGTAAATATGGGGTTGTCCTGTAGTTTTTCCCTTAAACCAATCCATTGAATGATGGGTTCAACTGGTTCAACCATTTAAAATGCAGCAAAACCAATGATTTTTTTGCAGCAAACAATGTGGATGTACACCATGAATCACCATGATATATCTGGTTGTTTCTTAGACTCTGGGGACCCCTTCTCGCCGTTGATTTCACAGGGCGCTAAGCCCTACGACCAAAAATATCAACAGTAATGAAGAAAATCACTTTGGTATGTTTTGGGTAAATCCCCACGTAAGCTAGCACAAACAAATAAACTGCGGAAATCAACGGGAATGACTCATATGTGAAATAAATTGAAATAACAATTCCATCCTTGGCAAATATTGAAGATGTGTGTGTGTGTGCGCCCTGACATAATCCAATCTGACAATAAACACACACAAAACCTGGTGAATAAGTTTCCACTCCAACCTGGAGATTCCAAATGTCCAAATGCCATGGCATGTTGAACGGGCAGCTCTCTGTTGCTTCAGTCTCAAAAAACTCCTCACTGCAAGCAGAAACTCGTCGTTGATTTATTAAATTAAATGCCTGATCAATCCTGAGAAAATCCGTGAGTTTGCTGATGGAATCATCAATCCCCGAGTTTGCTGATGAAAAAACTGCATCCAGAATCCCGATGCACATCTTTGCTGGCAAGAATCAAAATTCCCATCAAACTCCATCAATCTCCAGTATTTGCTTTTAGTTACCACCAAATAAAAGGATAGACGCGTGATTTCACTTTAGCCCCGTTTTTGGGATTGGAGGTTTTAGCTAACAACAAATCATCCGTTGTATGTTTTGTATGTGCTGTATTATTTTATATCTTTTCTGCGTGGCTATAATTATTTAGACACATCCATCTATGGATTGGTTTGAGGGAAAATTAAACCGGATAAAACCGGAATCCCCATATTTCATGGGAAAAATCCATGGTTTCCGGTTAGGATATTCCCGAAAACTCATCCATTGAATCTAGACATGCCATTTTCATCCATTTTCACCAGCGATGTCGCACCTCTCAAGGCTTGCGCGGCAGAGCCTTCGCCGGGGCGCGTGCCCAGCGAAGCGTCGTATTGGCGCCTCTTCTCAGGATTCGATAGCACCTGAGAGAGGAAAACATTTTCATGGGAGGGATCTATCTGGTTGACCATTTTACCCTCTGGTGATGACTAACTAACAGTTCGCCATGGAAAATAGATGGCAGATAGAAATAGATGGTTTACCTAGCTATAAAATGGTGGATCCTTCCATGGCGAACTGTTAGTCATAACCAGAGGGTAATTGAATATGATCTATCTGGTTTATCCCAAGAATATTCTCATAGTTTGGTAAAATACCAATCTATCTGGGTTTATCCCAATAATTTTATTTATAAGGAATATCATAATTTTACCAGAGGGTTATGATAATATCCCATAACCAAAGGGTAACTTCCTATTCATAATTTTAAGGGAATATAGTGGGAAAACATGGAATATCATAGATCTAGTTTGATGTGATGGGAAAATTTCGATTGGGCGGTGCCGTTTGCGCGAAACACAATGTCCCTAGTCTTCCAGGTAGCTTCCAGGTACCTGTGGGATAGGCAAGCCAGTGACCTTATCTGAAATGATTCTTGGGGCTGACAGGTAAGTGGAAGATTAGCGATGGGAATGGGATATGAATCTATGTCATATATATATATATCATATATGTATATCATATATATATATTAGCATATATATATATATATGATTTACATATATATCATATATATATATGATATATACATATATATATATATATATGTATATCATATATATATGTGTGTGTGTGTGTTAATATATATATATACATATGTACCGCGTACCTGAATTGAATCAATTAACCAAGCTGAAATAAAGCCATTTGGGGACAATTCCCCCACATAACAAACCATAATCACTGGCGTGGTTCTACTTGGATGTGCAGGACCCAGTGGAAAATATACATAACTAGTCTAAGTATGTAAATATATATATATATAAATGTAATTATATATATATGTATAACATTGTATATAGCCGATATAGTGTATACCTGACAACCTTGCGATGTTCCCTAGGAAGGCGTGCTGAGGGTTGCACATTGTAGGCTTTCTGGAGATGTTCGAAGGCATGGGTGGCCCCTTTCCTAATTTTTGGCAGGCACAGCACTGGGAATGTTTCTGGAAGTTTGGATGAAGACATGGACTCTAACCAGCAACGACTCTTTAGTCATTTGGAGGGTGCCCAGAACGCTCCGCTTTAGGGCTTGTCAGAGATTTCAAGCAACCCATGCTCTAAATGACTCCTCTTGCATGAAATTCATGTCCAGAACATACCGCACCATGTATGACACCAGCACCTTGTGATGTTCCACCAAAGGGCTCAATGTCAGTGCCATGGTGTCGGTCTGGATGCATCCTCGGCAGCATCGGTGGCATCCACTTGTAAGACCAAGGTGCCACTAACAAACACCATCTGCTTTGTGGTGAACCAACGCCCTGACACAACTTTGTTATAGTCAAGGGTCATAATTCCCACTTTTGAATACTTTGGAGAGGTTTCAGGATGGATACAAGCACGCTTGAACAATTTAAAACTACTACGCTTGCTGCGGGCAAGTGATGTTCAAGTAGCCTCAAAAAATGTCGGACGTGGCAAAGTGCCAACACTGAGGCCGCCACTTTTTCGCCAGCTGAAAATACGCCTGACGCAACACTGGGGCTGGAGGGTTCCACCCCTGCCGACGATGTCAAGAAAAATACTGGAGAGTCAGGTCTGCTGAAGAATCAAGAACCAAGAGCACAGCCAACATCAAATAGCAAGTCAGTTTCCAAGTGCCCTAGGAGAAACGAAGATTTCTCAAATTTTGTGTAAGCTGCAGCTGCGAGCATCAAAACACATCGAGGGATTTCAGTGATCCCTGACCCCGAAAGCTCCTGAAATTGTGAAAACGTGGAAACTGTAGTTGATACAATCTGATATAATGTGATATCTTGGTGTTAGTCGCCTGCCAGCCAACCTCTCTTGCAGTGTTCCCCTAAAAGAAACAATACACACGTGCAGGTGTTGATGCTGTATATTGCTACTATCTATCGTATCTCTGGTACATATACTGTAAATAGATACACATGATTGTATATGCCGTCTCCCACTCTCTCGCTCTCGTAATTTCATATAGCAATTGTGTATATTAAATATATGCATATATATATATACATTTAAATATGCATACATATATACATATATGTACATATATATAATACGCATATATATATATAAACTAATATTTAAACATATGTATATATATTTAATATGTACATATATATATGTGTAAATAAATAAACAAATTTATACATATATATATACATATATATATAATTAATATGTATATATATATAAACTGATATATATATATATATATATATACATATATACAGATACCTTCAAGACCAAACAAACACATACTTGCAGCAAGATGTTGCCAGCATTGCCTGTATCAGCTCTGCATCCCATCCGATTCGCCTTCTTGATCTGTGTCGGTCGGGCGTCTCGCTCCAGCCCCAGCACGCTATAGTAGTCAGGCACCGACATGGCTGACGAGTTGAGATATGTTATGCCGTGGATGTGGCGAGTTTGGAGCACCCCAAGTCAGGGAAGAAACACGTGGAATAAGTGGAATAATTATGTTTTTATCATACTTCAATGTTGAATTGAGAATAAAACAAAGTCGAGTAAATTTGAGACTTGACAGTGTGCTTCTCAGATGTCAGGGTGTCAAACAAACGTGGAAAAAACATCGCAAAGTTTCAGCTACCGGGAGGCCACTGAGACTACCTAGGATAGTGGTTGAAGTTGCCTCATGATGTTATGAGCTCCTTGAGCCACTGTTCTTGCTTATGGCAGAAACCATTGGCATCCGACTTGCGGGTCCAATACTCTTCCAAGTCTACCATCTGTGTGCAAGTCGGATACCCTTCGATGGACTTTTTGGCTGTATGATTCTTTACTACAGTACAAATGGATAAAAGGTGCTTCAGATTGGTGGTGTGGAATCTCAAATTACAGTATTCCCAGGATTCCTGGGATTCCAAAGGGGCTTACATCGCCATGCCCCGTCAATCATTGGCTGACTCGAGCAGGGGCCCACTGCAAAGTAGTATTCTGATAGAATGGGACTCCACTGGCACATGAATCTGTAGCCACTACCAACAAATAACATCTATAACGCCTATCATAGCCGGCGATCCTTCCTGGTGACAAGGCAACATATCAAGAAAGATGAACTGAACGCATTATCTTCAATAAGTCATATTAAGTTCCTCCTTGCCATTCACAGGGCGTTGGAAGACTCCGTTCATCCCGGCGGCCGCCAGAAAGCTGCTGCACCCTTCTTCCTTCGCAAAGGCCAACGATCAGGTTCCTTGTCGTGACCTCGGCGCACGAAGTGGTGTCACAAGGCTCCCAAGTCTTTTAACTAATGGAACCGGTTCGGTTGATGGTATATCTATGATATTCTGTGTATATATATATACACAACATTTTAATTAAATATTCAGTAATTATATGTTATATAACCTACACTTCATTAAAACAAAAAACAACGCCACATTGTATATTTCTTGAGGGTGCATCTCAGAGTGAATACATCAATCAGTCAAAAAAATGAACCACTAACCGAACAATTTTGCATGGCTCGGGATAAAAAGACTAATTATTGATATAATTTATATACCCTCTGGATCCCTCTGGTTATTTAACATAGCCATGGAAAATGGCCCATTTATAGATGGTTTACCGATTAAAAATGGGGATTTTCCATGGCTATGTTAAATAACCAGAGGGTATATAAATTATAAAATACCTTCACCAAGGTGAAACCAGGTGATTTCAGGATATCGCCAGGCTGATGCCTTCGATTCATAGCGCACAGGTCAAGAGTCTTGGGGAAATGTCCAGTCAAGGCTAAAAAGAAACTGGTAATGGTGGCAAACCTACTGCTCAAACACAGCACAGTTTAAAAAAATAAACCTTTCAGGGCATGAGAAAAAACATGCCCCAAAAGTTGACTGTTGGTTTCACCATGTTTCACCAAATTATACATATTAAATAATACCTTTTCCATTGAACCAAGTCTGGATCAGTCCGTATGGCTTAAGCTCGCACCTGAGCCGTGCAGGAGCTTGACATTCAGACTCGCCCCGACGCACACGATCAAGAAAGCCTTTGCAATGATTTCAAAAAATTTGGCTGAGGTGGGGAGTAACACATCTAAGTTTCATGATGTTTCATATTGAATCCTGCTGAAAAAGTGGTGTAGAAAAGCATCGCACAATGGGGCAAAAAGGTAGGATTGACTTTTACATTCTTGGGGACAAAGCCCTGATGTTTCAAACCGGTCGCGAGCACTATATATCATGTGTAAACCGGTTTGTTCTCCTAACCGGCCCCAAACATATCTGGTCATTTTTATCTAACAGTAGGATTCTTAGAATAACAGTTCATATATTCAGAATAAGAATAAGAATATATTAGGATTCTGAAGTTCATCTTTCATATCTGGTCATGTTTATCTAACATTATCTAACATTAGAATATGTGAAACCATAAGCGCCGTGGCAGCATGAACTTCAAAAAGCTTGTCAAAGCGCCAAAGGGCGATGGGTCAGTTCACTCTGGCATCCTGGTTACAAAGTAGATCAACATAGCAATGGAACATATCAGCATGTTCCATAGGTAAACTATATACAGTTTATAGCAAACACGTGTATATATATATACATATACATATATTATACATATATTATATTATATTATACTATGTTATATTACATTATATATCATATTATATTATATTATATTATATTTTATTATATATCATATCATATCATATTATATTATATTATATCATATTATATTATATTATATTATAATATTATATTAAATTATATTATATATATGTTATTATTGTTTATACTATCTTATATAATTATAAATTTTGGGCTATGTACATCCATTGTTCCATAGCTATGTTAAATTACCGGAGTGTAGCTGGAAATAGCTGGCAATTGGACGTTCATCGCCTCGTTCATATGGAACATCAATAGCACGTCGCGTCTCTTGTGCTGGTCAACGCCCTGATTGAAACATTTGTTGAATGTAGGATCCGCGAGAAAACATACATCCTCATGCTCATGTTCTACTTCATCAGATTGGTGGTTTCAACACGAACAACATGCTCGTTATTGAGGATAGTCTGGGATCATTATCCTATTTATTTCTATGTTTGACAATGAGTCGTTTTTGAACCTACCAGCCAGTCATTATGGTGTATCATCAAATGCAGCTTGCTGGAAAATCCACCATATTTATAGCTGATTTTCCCAGCTATATAAACCTGCGTCTATATCCATATATAGAGGATTTCCTCTCATTTATAGGAGTTTTCCATGTTTTCCTATCATTTACTTTCAGGAATTTTGGGAATTTCCCAGCCAGCTACATTTGATGACACCGCAGGCCCCATTTTGGGATGTAGCGTTTCAGCTTCAGCCCAGAGACTGGTGAACATGTAGGCCCCGGCATCGGCCGCTTCTTATAGGGACCTTGATCCAAAATGATCCAACGAAGGATATCATTGGCTTAGTTTTGGGAAACATGTCCAGTTAAAACGCTGGTTCATCCAATTCTGGGAGGATCGGAGTCATGGTCTTATACACCTCATTACGGAGAGATTTGGGAGATTATGGAACCGTCCCAGCAGAAGAATGACCCTGTCTTGTTGGGTGTTTTAATCAACATGTAGAGGGATTGGATGTATACAAGGTGAGCCCCCCCAATTATAAGCTGGTTATGTTGCTTTATAGACCCCTTTAAGTATTGCTTATACTGCGCAATCGCAAGAACCCTAGTTGGCCAAGTTACAAACCAACTCACAGTAGCTATCCCAGGAGCCACACATTGTTCAGAGTATACAGTAGGGGGATGAGGATGCACTTATATTGTAGCCGTTTCATCGGGCACGGCCGCGAACTTCAGAAAGTCAGATCCCATCATCGGTGGTCACGTGGTGCTAATCCCCACAGGGATGCCTTCTAAAGGGATGCCTTCTAAAGTTAGTACCCTCTGGTAATTTAACATAGCTATTGAAAATCATCATAGAAATAGTGGATTTTCCCATTAAACATGGTGGATCTTTCCATAGTTATGTTAAATTACCAGAGGGTAAATGATCCATATGTTAAGTTGCTTGCGGGCTGTGTTTCAGAGGGTAATGTAGTTTCGGTTTGGAAGAAGCGTTTTGCCATTAGGGAGCAAAATATAAAACGCTTGTTGGGTATAGGATATGTATTTTTATGGAAAAACGCTTCTTCCAGAATTTCATTCAAATAGTTGCTCATCCAAACTAACCTAATTGGAGGTACTATCCCATATATACTAATATACAATGCATCCTTATATAACCCTTATGTATACATAACCCCTTACATACCCCTTATATATATATATATATACAAACCCCTGCTGCCAATACTATGGAGGTCTCAGGGGAGAGAAAAAAACCTCCAACCAAAGAAGATGTTGTTGAGGGTTTTTTGAGATGCAATTTGAGGGTCTATGTTGGGCCTATGTGGGGCCAAGTTGGGCCATTGGCAGGCGATATTAGGCTGATGTTTGGCAAATTTGGTGCATGTTGGGGGTATTTGGTGGCATTTTAGCTCAGAAAGTGTTGAAACCATGGAGCCCCGCAGCCCAGCCCCAGCTCCAGCTGGTACAGGATTTAACTAATTCAAGATTGTTTTACCTGGTTCAAACAGACTCCAAGAATTGTTTTATAGCAGGTGTGCAACAAATTTACATAGTTCACCAAATGTTTGCCAGCTGTTTGAATTTCACTTGGCATTCATGGAGCCACAAGCTGTGTTTATTCTTCACCAAGTTTTCACCAGGTTTCTGGATGTTCACTGAGTTTCTGGATTTCACCAGGTTTCCACCAGGTTTTCACCAGGTTTCTTGATGTTCACTGAGTTTCTGAATTTCACCAGGTTTTCACCAGGTCTCCACTAGGTCTCCACCAGGTTTTCACCAGGTTTCTGGATATTCGCTGAGTTTCTGAATTTCACCAGGTTTTCACCAGGTTTTCTGGTTGTTCACTGAGTTTCTGAATTTCACCAGGTTTTCACCAGGTTTTCACCAGGTTTTCACCATGTTTCTGGATATTCACTGAGTTGCCAAATTTCACCAGGTTTTCACCAAGTTTCTAAAAAAATCATCAGGTTTTCACCACGTTTCCAAACTCCACCAGGTTTTCACCAAGTTTTTAAACTTCACCAGGTTTTCACCAAGTTTGCACATTTCACAGGGTTTTCACCAGGTTTTCACCAAGTTTCCAAATTTCACCAGGTTTTCACAAAGTCATTAAATTTCACCAGGTTTTCACCAAGTTTTTCAAATTTCACCAAGTTTTCACCAAGTTTACCAAATTTCACCAGGTTTTCACCAAGTTTACCAAATTTCACCAAGTTTTCACCAAGTTATTAAATTTCACCAGGTTTTCACCAAGTTTTCCAAATTTCACCAAGTTTTCCGAATTTCACCAGGTTTTCACCAAGTTTACCAAATTTCACCAAGTTTTCACCAAGTTTACCAATTT